GAAATTTGCTAGTTCATCATGAAGTACAGAAGTCTTCTCATCTGAACTTTTCTGTAAATCATGCAACTGACTCTGCAAATCTTCAATTGTCAATTGGCGCTCGCTCATTTTTCTGCCGAGCTCACAGTTTTCTGCTTTAAGACTAAACTCTTGTTGTTTCAAGGAATCACAAAGAACTTCAAGCTCATTGTTCTTTTCTTTAATACCAAACATATGTTGCTTTACAGTTTCATAAAGAACACCAAGCTCAATGTTGGTTGCTGCTAAATTATCACTTTGTTCCTTCAGGACTTCAGCCTGAACCTTGAGCTCACTGATAGTGAAATTAGCAGCATTTCTATCATCTCTCTCCGACTCGAACATTAAACTAGCATTCTTAGCATCTAGAGCTAACTGCTTAAGGACTGCCTTCAAATTTCCTGTGTATTCTTTTGTTGACGCAAAATGATCTGCTGCCAGTGATTGATCCTTGTTCATGGAACTGTCCTCTGCCTCATTCTCGTCGTGATGCACCTTTGACTCAAAAGCTTGAATTAGTTTTGACACTGCCGGAACTGCAGTTTTACCACCAGCTATAATGTGTGATACTGTATGAAAGTTAACACCTTCAATTGCCTTTTCAAGTCCTTGCAAAATTTTCTCTGCCTCCTCAAGGTGTCCCTTTAAGACTGCAAAACCCGAACGATCATCAGAGACTTCCTGCCCAAACAGCGCTGGCGGTGGACCTACTTCAACATTACCAGATATGGATTTCTCCAACATTGAGAAGGTATCTTTACCATGCCGCTCATCATCAGTTGCATTCTCCCAAACCCTGCTCTGTATTTCCAAATTTCCAACTGGATTTGCAGCTTCGCCAACTGGCGAGGAGTTTTGAGCTTGCATGTCATCAATTTCTCGTAGCTTGGCTTTATGTACATCCAGATTGCTGCTAAGAAATATATTTTCCTCTGTCATTTGTTCAAGACGCATTGTCAGTTCCTTTAGCTCAGATTCAAATCGCATGCATTCAGCATGATCTTTAGACAACTTGTCATCAAGGACAAGAAGCTCGGACGAAAGCCTATCTCTCTCCTCAACTGAATACCTGATGTCCTCTTCAAGTTTCTTTCTCTCCTCCATTGCGACTGCAAGGCTCTCACTTAATTTCACATTTTCCACCTGTAGAGCTTCCACCAATCCCTTACAATCAGATAACTCAATGCATATCTTCTCATGGCAATTGGCAAGGTACTCCTTTTCCCCATCAAGCTTCATTTTTTCCTCTGTAATTGAAGCAAGAGTTCCACTCAAGTTAGAACTTTCCATCTGTAAAGCTGCTACCAAACTCTTGCAGTCAGCTAACTCACTCAACAGCTTCTCATTCTCGTGGAGACAAGAATTTTTTTCCTCCTCAACTTTCTTTCTCTCATCGGTCAAGGAAACAAGCTTGCCTTCTAAGTTCTCAATTTCCACCTGCAAGGCTGCAACAAAATCCTTGCTGTCAGCCGATTCCTTGAACAGTCTCAATGATTCCGATTGCGACATTTCCATACTATTCTGCAACTCATATGCTCTTGCAGAAACTTCCTCAAATTCTGCCTTTGCTGCATGAAATTGCTGTTCAAGCTCCTTCCTCCCACTAACACTGGCCCGAAGGTCAGATCTGCATTCTGCAAGTTCTTCAGCAAGGGAGTTACTCCTCTCATGAGATTCATGAAATTGCTGTTCAGGCTCCTCCCTCCCACTAACACTAGCCTGAAGTTCAGATCTGCATTCTGCAAGTTCTTCAGCAAGGGAGATACTCCTCTCATGAGATTCATGAAATTGCTGTTCAAGCTCCTCCCTCCCACTAACACTAGCCTGAAGTTCAGATCTGCATTCTGCAAGTTCTTCAGCAAGGGAGGTACTCCTCTCATGAGATTCATGAAATTGCTGTTCAAGCTCTTCCCTCCCACTAACACTAGCCTGAAGTTCAGATCTGCATTCTGCAAGTTCTTCAGCAAGGGAGTTACTCCTCTCACGAGCTTCATGAAATTGCCGTTCAAGCTCCTCCCTCCCACTAACACTAGCCTGAAGTTCAGACCTGCATTCTGCAAGTTCTTCAGCAAGGGAGTTATTCCTCTCATGAGCTTCATGAAATTGCTGTTCAAGCTCCTCCCTCCCAATAACACTAGCCTGAAGTTCAGATCTGCATTCTGCAAGTTCTTCAGCAAGGGAGTTACTCCTTTCATAAGCTTCTTTGAGTGAAGCGCGAAGCACAGCTATATCATCATCCAACTGACGCAAATGATGATCATTCTCTGTTTGCAGATCAGACTGTTCAGAAAGTTGTAATTTAAGGATATCTTTTGAGCAATTTGTGAGGAATAATTCTTCTCTAAGTCTCTCCAACAAACCTGGAAAGCCATCTAGTGATAAGAATGAACTAGCAGTGTCCAACTCAGCATTAGCAACTGATCCCCGAGAATTGAGAAGTTGCCGATACTCATCTTCACTAAGTCCCTTTATCACCTCTATGAGCTGCAAGAAGCTGATTGGATACAAATCACCAAGAGAGCCCTCTGATGTACTGGCTAGTTTAGTTAACGGAGGCCTTTCATCACTTTCACTGACGAACACAAAAGACTCCTCAGGAAAATAATGTAGACTAGATGCCTCTGCAACCAAACTATCAGATTGCACACCTTCTTCCCTGTCATCTCCAAGATGTGCATACCCAGATGGCAATTCCGCATTTTCGACAGCTGATGCACCTATATCAACCACTTTCCCATGTTGATTGGTGGCGTCATGAATAACACCCGAAGTTCCATCTGCCTCCAAAACAGCCAAAGCAGATGCAACTATCTCATCTGACAGGTCAGTTGCATTCGCAGAAACAGAAGCACCACCTGCCGCATGACTTTGCTTTGATTGAGAGGCTGCTTCCTCCATCTGAATCTGTTCTGAAGCTGTACCTCCAGCACCTTTGGCAAATTCACTATGGCCAGAAAAGTATAGTCCCCTGTCTCCTTCAAGCTGTGCATCACTGCTTCCACCAAATTGTTTCGAGCCCAAACCATCAGCTTCCTGCATTGCCCCTACCCAGCAACAAATGAGAATTTAATTATACATCAAATCCACACCAACAAATGAGAATTTAATTATACACCAAATCCACACATTTCTTTGTCCCATACAGCCAAACAGAATGCCCCAATAAAAGGAAAAGGAAAATGTAGATTGAAAAATAGTATTAAGAGAATAAGAGCCCAACCTACATCCGTTACCTGATCTCCCCTTGCAGGAATCGAGGATGTATCAGGACTATCTTCTTGTGATAGAAATGGCTGATTGATGTCTTCCACATTTTTGCTCTGTGTTTCAACTGTAAAAGTTATGCCATCTGTAGTATGTACCAGTGAAGGAGGAGCTGGCACATCAATGTTTACAAATGCATCATCATGTTCGGGTTTCACTCCAGAATCTGGAATATCTGACCTTCCCAAATGAGCAACTCTTGCTACCTTATCATCAGTAAACTGGCTACTTCCCCCTTCCTCAGGTTTTGAGGAATCAATGCCATTGTCATCAGGCCCCACTTCCTGTGCAGCCATCCCAGCATCATGGCCCAAAGCTGTTTCAGCTACGCTTGATTCAGGTGTCATAGGAATTGATGGTGGATCAACAGCCATAACATCAACATCAGTAGCCACAGAGGAAGACTGCAAAGAGTCTACCCTTCCGGAATCAGAATCACTCTGAGATTTAACTTCCTCTTCAACAACTGGTGGCACTGTTGCTGCTTTTACAGTACTTGATGCTTCATCAGCATCAGATTCATGCTTCTCAGATGTACTAGATTTTTTCGAGGATTTTTCACGGCTACTACTGCCTTTATTATCCTTCTTCTGGCGAAATTGTTGAAGCTGATAATGCAAAACCAGTATTTAGATTCCAACCAATCACATTCAATCTTTATTTGGTCTAGAACAAGAGAAAAGAAGGAAAAAGGAAAGCCAAAGCAAAATCTTTGAACTTCAAAGACAGTGCACATCATACATGCCCAATTCAAGATAGTCAATAGTTAAGACAATCATATCCAAGGTTGATTCTTCTTCTTAAGAAACCACAACAGCAGAAAACACAAATTACGAAATCCAATTCTCATTTCTTTCCGATGCATTCATCATTGCACAGAACAAACTAAAAGAAATAACACCAGTTCCGATACATTCCGAAGCATTAGTAACCTTAAAACAAAAACGAAAGCAAAATCCAACACCTCACAGAGCATTACGTTCTACATTTTGTTGTATTCACAAAAACAACTTGATTTCTTAGCTTCAAATTCATTTCCCTCCAACTTTCTAGCAACCAATCAAATTATAAAATAAAAACAAGAAAACGAAAACAAAATAGAAAAAATAATAATAACAATACCTTCTTACGTCCGGCTGCCAGCAGATCGGTACGGCTCTTGTTCTTGTCCATCCTCCGATCTGCTCCGTTTTTACTCCCCACCCTTACTCCTCACTGATCACCACCTCCCCCGTCAATTCTCCCGCTCACCATTAGATCCTCCTCCCCCTAACCACATCCATACACAAACAAAACCAAATCATCCTCATTAAAAACTTAAAATTCACGCTATTAACACTCTCCTCAGCTACGCTAATCTTACGAATCGTTATTATTTCCTTTGCCGCATTTTCTCGTCAACCAAACAGAGTGTAATAACAACAATAATTAAAAAAAAAAAAAAAAAAAAACGATTTGAGAACGGCGAGAGAGAGAGAGAAATACCATGATTTCAGTTCGATTTGATTTTCTTTTCCGAGTTAGTTACGAATTGCTTTGCTGTGAAGGCAAACGACGACGTAATTTCTGCTGCGTTCGTTTGTTGGAGGTTTTCTCTTAGATCTAACGCTACGCTAAGCTTTTTCGTTTCTGTTGATTGCTGTAGGTGAGACGTCAAGAGAGAGGAGGTTTTTATTTCTACACTGTTTGTAATGTTTGGTTTGGTGCAATAACGACTTCGTTTTGATGAACGAACCGAGACGACAACCCAGAGTTGGGCATGGGCCCAGCAGACTGGGCTTCTAAGAAAATAAAAAGCGTTTTCCATGTGGTGTTTTTGTTTGGACTTTGGACTAACTCGTGTTATTATTTTCTTTCCTTTTCTGATGATCATTGACGTAATTGATTATTTGTCATTATGCGTTTTTTTTTTTTTTTTACCGAAATGAGTTTTATAGTAAATTACAATAATCTTTTTAAGGTAAAAATTACCTTCGGTCTCAAAAATTAAAAAAATATATATTATGATTAAGTGATTGGTAGACTAATAAAATTAATTTCTCCATTTAATTTTGATCTATTTGGTTTGATTTTTTTTAAAAATAGTAATTAAGGGTATTTTGGGTGTAAATTGTGGTTTTTGAGTATTTCTTTTTATGTACATGAGATTTTTGATAAATATTTAAATTTTTTTAAGTTTTGATTGAAATTTTATAATACCTCAACCGAGTTATTACGATTTATTCAAAGAAAAAAAATGTTGTATGAGGGCTTCACTTCACTAGAAAAGATGAGGACTTGGAGTTTAGGAGGAGGTTTCGATTGGGCTTGGCTTTGATTAATTTATATGTGATTAGACCCAATTATCCTAAGCAAAATTATTCTTGATTTATGCTTAAATCTATTAAGAATTACCCCATAAACTCATATTCCATCTATATCCGATTTATTCATATTCCATTTACCTGCCCTCAGTCTACATCCGATTTATCCATAGTGCATTTACGTGTCCACTTAATACCACCAAAAAATTTATGTCCAAATATTTTGTGTTAGTCTCGATAATTTTCACAAAAAAAAAGTTAATTTGATCCTTAAAGTTTATTTTTTATAATTTAGTCCTTTATTTTTTTTTATTTTTTATTTTTGGTATTTATTGAGGTTTCTCGTTTTTCGTTTTGTATCATGTCTATTGTCTTTTCTATCTATATTTGTCATTATATTTGATATCTGTATATTAAAGGTTTGAATTGCCAATAAGTTGGGTAGGGGAGCCCAAGAAGATGGATCAAGGGTACCCAAAAAAAAGCCCAATTTGGTAAAAGAGGAACTTTAATGATCATAAGAATTCTAATTATTAATTAACCATCTTAAAAATCCTCTCAATTAGAGATTGTGGGAAGGTAAAGGTTCCACAGAAAAGGGAGAGGGGATGGAGACATTTTCAATTCTTAAACTTGATGTTTCGTATGATTCATATAAATATTTAGGTCTTATTCGGTATGAGATTAAAAATTGAAAGTGATACAAATGAGTTCAATTTTTCTAAGAAAAAAACCAATGAGTTCTGTCTTGTTTTTGTTTTCGTTTTCTTTTCTCATTAAAAAAAAAAAAAAACATCCGATCTCTTTCATTCTTCCTAGGATAGCCTTACAATATAAAGTATTAATTTAACCTTTCAACGTTTAATTAAATAAGATAACTTTTCAGGCTTTACCATGATTTCTTTAACTCTTTTTTTATCGAATTATTCAGCTTTTATTGTTTTTCTTTATATTTGTGAGAAATCTAAGCTAAAGTGATTAAAAAAAACTAAAGTAAAACGATTGTTTACTATTCACTATACTATTTGAAATATTATTCATTCAGATCCATTTGTATTGTTTACAAAAATTTATATGCACTATTCTTTTTACTATTTAAACTTTTTAAATGTATTTATTATAAATGTTTTCGTAATACTATTTTTTTATATATATTTGTGAGAAATCTAAGTTAAAGTGATTAAAAAAAATTAAAGTAAAACAATTGTTTACTATTCACTATGCTATTTGAAATATTGTTCATCCAGATCCATCAGCACTATTCACAAAAATTTATGTGCACTATTATTTTCACTATATAATGATATTTTTATAGTTTTTAGACTTTTTAAAAGTATTTATTGTGAAAGTTTTTGTAATATTATACTTTAATCTCTCTTTTTTAAAACATTGTTTTCTTGGTCCATGATGTTTTGGTTACTTTGGTCCTTACTTTTTTTTCTTCTGTTTTTTTTTAATTAAAAATTTTAAGGTAAAAAAATGTTTTAAAAAATAATTTACCAAATAAGTTTTTAGTTAAGAATTCATTAATTTTGACATTTTTTTCTTACATTATTATAATTTTTTTAGTTAAGAATGTGAATAGAGATAAATAAATAATGTTTTTTAATAAATAATTATGAAAAACATAAAAAATAAACACTCAAATACAAAATTTTGATTAAAAAATTATAAAATTGAATGAACTTTTTTCAATTTTGATTTGATATATTTTAACATGAAGTCTTGAATTGAAATAATTTTTTAAAAATAATTTTATATGTTATGTTCAATACGTAACATAATACAGGATAAAAACCATTAACAAATAAACTAAAAGAATAAGCATTATTACTATTCATCAAGACACAGTAGTTGCACTGTACTTGCCCTCCATTCTCTCTCGGTCATTTGTTCTTTGTATTCCTTTGATTTGCAGCCATTCTTTTCTCTTCTCTTGGTGACAGGCGGCATTTAATGTTTCTTTCTCGTATACACTATAAAGAAAAGAGTTCTGATGCAAGGTGATGCCAATGTATTTTTCTTTCTTTCAGAATAGAAAACGAAGATAGAATGCTAATAGTATTTAAAACATGGAAGTTATTTGCAATTTATTTTCCATTTACAGATTCCTCACCTACTTATGATGGCATGTAGCAACTAAAGCCACGAAAAGCAACACAAAACGAAGGGAGAAACTTTTTTGAAATGATTCAATGAATCTTATAGGTGAAAGTGCTTAAAATGCAACATGGTCTTATTCTCAATTTATGCTTGAGGATTATTTCAATCAGAAAATTCCCAAATTCGGACGAAAAGAAAATATAGAGAGTGTAAATCAAAACATGCAATAGTCCATGGAGCCTTTGTGCAGTCCTGCCCATGTTAAAGGGAAAAAAAAGTTACCATTGTTACTTTTCATCCCATTTATTTCCATACCAAGCATATCTTAACAAATGTTTAATGCTGTTAAAACGATGTAACCATTTTTTAATTTTAAATCATCTGAAATTAAGTCTTTGAATTTTTTTATTAGTTTTGAGGATTCTCAAAGTTTTAATTTTTTTAGATTTGATCAATTCAATGATTTTCAGCTATTATCTTTGTTTATAAAACAATTTAATTTTTGATATTTTTAACTGAAATTTTACACACATATTGGAAACAATTTAATTTATCTTGTAGAAAAAATCCAGAATTTTTTAAAATCGAAAACTATATTTTTTTATTTTTTGAATATTAAAAATATAGAAAATAACCCTGAAATGATCTTTTTTTTTTTTTTTTGAAGTACCTCAAATAAATCTCACTAAATAATTTCCATCATGAAACTATTTTTTTATTCTTACTTTTTAAAATAAATGAAAAAAACTGAAAAATGGGTTAAATCTGAAAAAAAAAAATTAAAGTTGAGGGATCCTTAAAACTATAAAAAAATATTTAAAGACTCGACTTGGAATGATTTAAAATTCAGAAATGGTTATACCTTTTTAACCCATGTTTAATTTATGTGGAGTATTGGTCGTAGGGTTGGAATAAGCTTGTGGAATTGGACAAAATAAAAGAAAATGAATTGTGTATTATAATAGGCCTTACTATAACTACTAAGAAAATAAACATGTATTGATTGGGAAATTGAAAATTTTTAAGGGTTCTTGTGGTTTCCAGGAAATTCTGGCCTCATTAGATTGAGTAGTCATGGTCCATCTTTTCATATGGATTATCTAAATTTTTTTCAAGATGAAGATACGAAAGAATTTGTTTATATCTCTCATGCTGTTTAGAAGAAGTGTCTTATCCTTTTACTGGGAGGTGTGGACTTGTGACAAAATAATAGAAGGACACATGAAAGAGATAGCCTAATATATAAGAGCATATGGATCGATTAATCCAAAAAAAAAAAAAATTGACCTTCCAATATATATATATATATATATATATAATTGTTCTATTTTTTATTCAATTAATATATAATATGTATATATTTTTGGAAAGTACTTGTAGAGTTATTACTGGATTTTAAGATTTACAGTGCTAAAAATTATATTTTTCGATTTATGAATCAAATCTCAATTCGACAAACAATATCGATTTTATATTTATGTAAAAAGAAAGAGTACAACTTTTAAATACCTGATAATTTCTCTTTTGTGTTAAGTAATTGTCAAAGAATAATATAAAATCCTTCGTAGAATTTTACATAATAATTTAAATTTTTAAATTGAAATAATTTTTTTATATGATAACGAAGTTTTGATGACTAAATAGTTATAAGTTCAAATTTTAATATCTTAATTTTTTTTTCAAATTAAAAAATATAATAGTATAACGTAATGTTAATCTATACAAATTTCAAATCAAAAAGTTTTTTCTTAAAGAGGTATGTTAAAAAGTAAGATAAATTGAATACTACCATCCAACCGTTTAAATTTTATTTAAAAATAACATTTTTGAGTGAGAAAGTAAACTTTAATCGGTGAATGTCGTATTGATTAAGAAATTAAAAATTCAGAAAACTTCGTTTTGAAAATTTTATGATGTTCCTAAAAACGGCCGAGATTGTTGAATTATATGTTAAGAGTCTAATTTTTTAGATTTGTTGGGTAAGGTGGCATCTACTGGAAAAAAAAAATTGAAAAGTTGGTTGTGTTCCAAAAAAAAAAAAAAAAAAAAGCTGAGATTGTGACAATTTTAAGCCTTTGTCGTGTACTATTTTGTGAGCCATTCATGTTCTTAATTCAGACAGAATCATTTCTAATCTTCTTTTGCACAAACTTCTACTTCTCTCCTTGGCCTACCATATATATACATACCACGATCTTTGCCAGAAGCTTGGTGTTGGATTATGATGAACAGGACAACCTTGAACTGGGTTTCAAACCAAAGACTGCAGCTTTTTGTCTCTAATTAATGATCATTTCTCATCAACACCTGCTTGGTGATTAAAGTTTTTTAACCTATTGATTTTCCTTTAAGTTTGATAATGGAAAAAATTGTTGATATGGAATCAATGTGAGAACAATCCATTTAAATTTACTAATGCTTTCTTTGGTGTATATCAGAAGATGATTTTATTTGGTAAAAACAAACCACTGGTTGTTGGCGGTGGTTAAATATATTCCTATCATTTCTTCCAAATGTATAATTTATGGACAGTGGGTATGAAAGGAAGGATCATTTAACATAATAATATATTATTTTTAATTATTATATGTTAACCATTTCCAATACTATCTATAACATTGACACCATTACTATTACCACCATGGTTGTCATCACTCCCATGACTTTTCTTCCACTGCTATTTTATATATATGAAAGCGGTTTCAATTTCTTCTAAACATATATTATTGCTATAACTGTATTGTAATTACTATACTACTATTATTATCATCGTTATCGTAATCAATTTTATCATTTTTATTATTATCATAATTAATCAAATTAGTTTTTCAAATTCATTATCCTTATTTATCTTAAAAATCATATATTAAAAATTAAATTATATTTTTATTTCTTACTATTCTGAATATAATATTAGAAATAAAATACAATTATCGATTGTCTAATTTTCATTCTTAATAATCAGAAGACATCTAAATACTTAAAACATATCTAATTTATGTAAATTCAATGGTAAAAATAGTCTGTCTTAATCATTTTATTTTGATAATACATGTTTTTCATATATATAAGTGAAGTGATCACTCTCAAAGTGTATATATATATATATATAAAATCGCAATGGCTTCTGAAATCTTGCTTTATCTAGAAAGTCATTGTACATGCATTAAGAAGTTCAAAGCAATAATTTAAGGTTGCTCGAAGGACAGCCATGCTATTTTATAACCTTATTCAAAGCCATGTAAGGGAACTTTGGAGCAAAAGATTATTATAAGATAGACATGACACAATCGCAATGGCTTCTGAAAACTTTCTTTCTCTAGAAGGTCATTGTACGTGCATTAAGAAGTTGAAAGCATTAATTTAAGGTTGCACGCACGAAGGGTAGCAATCCTATTTTATAACCTTATTCAAAGGCCATATAGAAGGGAACTTAGGAGCAAAAGATTATTATCCTCATCACAAGTTTTAGTGGCCAGATACAATGCTCTGGCTAATGATACATCGACATCTATCAAGATCACAAAGTGATTTCATTCGATAAATTCACGGGTTGAGTCAACTCAATTTTGCAGTAAATTAATTGGAAACAAACAAGTCTTCTTCCCTCCTTAATCACAGATTTTGTATGTTAAACAATGGGATTAGACAGCTAACTTTATGCCCACTACCCAAAAAAAACACAAAAAATGTGGAAGAGTCTAATATATAATTTTAACCAACATGACATTTTCTAAAGAAGAAGATATTGTCATCATGGAATCGAATCAGAAACCAGATCTTCTCCAATGTCGTTTTATGACACCAAGTGTTCATATTCTTTGTTGTGTTCGAAATTTTTTATGTTTATAAGGGAAAAAAAATACCAAGATAAGTCAAATGTATTTGGTCAATTCTCATAAAAGGTTTATCAAATGAGAGTTGAGATGCTTGGGTGGGAACTTTTTGATTTGATGATATATTATATTCGATTGGTTGGTTTGAAAATTTCTTTAAAATTAATTAAAGAAAGAAAATGCAAATATTCTTAGCATCTCCTCTCTAATTTCATTTTTTTCTTATTTTCTTATGTTCATGCCAAATGTTTAAATCTTTGTATGAAAAACAGAAGCAAGTTGATAACTTTCCAAACTAGAAATTAAGCTTTAGCATTTACATTTTGTACATATGCTGGATTTTTTTAAAAAAATTAATCAAATAATTTCGTTAATTTTATCATGTGTTAACGCATATTAATTAATTAATTTTTTTTAGTTTTAACCTATATCCAAGTTATATAATTTTTAAATCTTTCATCTTAATAGATTTTGATTAAACACCTACTTGTTATACTAATTTGTGTTTTTTGGTATCGCATGCTTTTCTTTGCATACCACTTATTATTTATATTTATTTTATTTGTTTTGTTTATCGTTAATTTTATAAATCATAATATTAATTTTTTATCTTTTCATCAATCTATTGACTAATCGTTTGATTAATTTTCAATAACGATATAAACATTTTCTAAAATTTTACACGCACTCGATGAATTTAATAATCAAAGCAGTTTGATGTGGGGGCAACAGAATGATTCCACTATTTTGACGTATGTATAGGCATGTAGCACTCACATGTAAGTAAAGCAAACTGCATATGTGAGTCACATACAACTAAACGAGCTAGGTTTTGTAGCCTTAGTTTCATCTAAGGATGCTTAATCGGCTCTCTCAGTGACAATACCTAGCTCGTTTAGTTGTAAATTCTTTTTCATTAACAATAAAGATATTTTTTAACAAGTTTTCATATACCAACACCGACTAATTGAATCTCCAAGTAATTTTATAAACTACCTATATTTGATTAGCATATTCATGGGAATTTCTCATAAAATTGAAACCCTAAATAATAATATGAGGGATATACCTATTACCAACTAGACTAAACTTTGAAGGATTATTTAATTTAATTTAAGGTTAATGGTTAAATTTGTCGTTATATAACATGATAATTTTTTAATTTGTCTTTATATTTATAATTGAACCAATTTTATCTTTAAATACATATTAAATGTTTAATTTATCATTCGATAAAATTTTTAAACTAAATTATTGAAACATGCGATTTGTACATAAATTTTTTTTATTAGATGGACTTATAAGGATATTTTGATAATAAAAATTAATTATATATAAATCACGTTAATAATTTTGATAATCGGATTTAAAAATCTTGATAAAAAAAAAGATAAAAACTTAACATATATCTAAAAATAAAATTAACTCGAATAAGGATATAAAAAAAGATTGAAAGATTTATTTTATTATATACAAATGGATTGAAAAATTGATCCAATATTTTATGGGAACGCTATTAAAATGCAAGGTCTCGGAAAATGAGAAACCTCTAATCTTGCCAAATGGTTTAGTTACACGGCCATCTTTCAAATGTCAAGGTCCTAATCAAAACGTGGGTCGACCACTTATCACCTACGCGGCTAATTAAGTCAACTCCACGTTGTTTGAATATCTTTATAATTCGTTGACAATCTATATAGGATCCACAATTTATTTTCATTTTTCTCCTGTAATTATGCCGAAAATATTGCACAACATAATTTTTTTTTTAATAAATAAAAGATAATGTTTCCAAGGTCGTCAAATCTCTGAAGAAAACACCATATTTAATGGCTTGAGGGTTTCTTAGCTCTTCCAAAGATATTCATAGCAGTCCACCTCTACAAAAAGAATTTGATTAAGATTGAATTGATTAAAAATATTATGATTTTTTTATTATGTTTACCGATATTAGAGTATTTTTTAAATTAATTTTCGTATTAATTAAAATTAAATCTATCATATTTTGAGTTAAATTAATATCAGAATACATTTAGTGTTTGATGATCATCGGATTGCTGCTTAAGTTAAATAAATCTAACTATAACACTACTAAAAAATAATTATGATTAATTATTTATAAATAATAAAAATTAAATATTAATTTTGATAAAATCAAAGCAATTCCTCGCTAACATCCCTTGATAAAAACATTATGAATTTATTTTAGTTTAGCGCAATTTCTCAAAAATAAAATTTAACATAAATATATATATATACACACACTAGTAATTTTACTCTGGTAAAAGACCTTTATATTTGGTGATCCATTTTTTTATCTTTTAGAAATCATCTATCTTACGTTATACATTTGACTTTGCATTTAGCTTTTGTTTGATGCCCAAAAAATAATCTAGATATCCTTAAATGTATTTTTTTCTGAAAAAAAAATCAATAATATCTGCTTCAAATATTGGCACCAGATAATACCCAATTTTCAATGGTCAATGTAAATTTTCACTCCACGTGGCAATACCTAAACAGTACCCCCACTTCGGGATTTTCGAAGATGAAATTAAGTCAACTATCTCAATTGCTGTCAACCGTCGGATTAATTAGTAGAGATCGAACGGACCGAAATCTTAATCAATTTTCAAGTTAAAAAAGAAAAAGAAAACAGAGGGCATAGCTTCACGGGATCCCCACTTGTAACCAGCCTTCTTAATCTCCCACTTTTTTGTTTTTCATTACTTGTTGTTTTAAAATTTAATTAATTTTTGAGAATTGGCTTGGATTAAAATCAGGTTTTCCTTCTCTATTATTATTAGTTATTTTAAATTAAGATTTGTTTTTGTCAATTGAAATTAAATCTTTTCTTTTGACAATTTTAAAAAGATTTTTTCCATATTAATTCGAGGTATTCAAGAAAACATTTTCATGAACGATAGATTCAAGATTCAAACTTAAAAAGTTAAAAAATAAAATATATATTTTTGACTGCCAAAACAATCCTAAAAAAAAAATTACAATAAATACGTTATTAATAACATGTCTAAAACCTAAGACGGAAAATACTAAGTACGAAGCTTAGTAAGAGAATACCTTGAAAATATTACTAGTAGGGAAATTATTTATCTTTGAACTCTTCCACAAAAAATCAAGCCATGACACTAGTGATAAACGAGAGAAGACATTGACAGGAAGTTGGAAAATGTTAGCGTTGATGCTGCCCTTTTTATTCTTTCGAAATCGAAGCATGTATGGGTGTTGGTTGTGTTTTGCATGGGCCTAATGAAGGTATAATGGCCAGTTTCAACAAGGAGATAGATGAAGTGGCGATCTATTGTCTTGACGAAGGTCTCAATCTCAGGAAGACGTTGAATTGGATCAAGAGTTGTCGTCTCTCCAATGTTAATCTCGAATCTGATTATCAACTGCTAGTTATGAAATGGGTCCTGATCCCCTTTTGTTTTTGTTAGCAGCTCTAGCTATGGATTCTAGAGAATGAATACATGATTCAAGGGTTTTTTTTTTTTTTTTTTTTTTAAGCTGGAAAATGTTGGTATTTTCTGAACTTTGGAAGTCCGTCAAAATCTAAGTGCTCAAATATGGGCACAAAACCACCAACTCAATAACGCCATTGATGGTAAGAAGAAAATTAGAGCTAAAACAAAAAATAATCAAATATTGGAGAAAATCGGTTCCTCATGAATTTTGGTCATGACTCGTGAGATTTTTTTGACTTTTCCATTTTTAGTTAGACATGTCATATCGTATTGAAATCTTGTTTTTGTCTTAAAAAAAAAAAAATGTTTTCTAAACTTAGTTTTGCAAGAAAGCAATAGCCTTGAATTTGGAATGCAACTATCCATTCTAGAAGAATTATGCTCATTATATGTTGGTTGTTAAGATATTTTATTCAAACAAAAACCTTGACTTTGATGTATTTAGATAATTTTTGTTTTCTTCGTTTCAATAAAGTTATCTTAATTTTTATTATTATTTATCAAAAAAATAATTGACTGATCAAAACATTAAAATCATATATTTTATTACAGTATTCTTAATTAAATTCCTTCAATAAGAAATCTATGATTGAAATGAGTATTTTTGAAAAATAAATAAATAATAATAATAATGTAACATATCAATTAATAATATTTTTAACATGTTTAAAAAACTAAACATGTCAATTTCTTTAGAGCTGTGTAAAACGGAGGGAGTGGTACTTATTCAACGTACTTGAAAACTTGTGACAGGAGGCAAAAGACAATAACTAGAAGTTGGTAGATATAAATACAAGAGGCTTTTCTCGATTTAGTTGGTATAATAATTGATAATCGATAATTTCAGAAGAGCTTTGATATTGACATTTTTTTATTAAGAGATTTAAATAATATTGACAACAATCCAATGACTTAGTATGTGATTATATAATAAGGTAATTTTTAAATTTATTTTTGTATTTTTAATCAATTTTTTTTCTTAAATATATATTGCGTTTTAATCTATTCCTCTGACAAAATTTTCAAACCAAACTACTAGTTACACTATTTGCATATGAAAGCTTTCTATTCGACTAGCTTGTAAAATATTTTGAAAAAAAACTAATCATGTATAAATTAAGTGAATAATTTAGATTAGTTGATCTGATTTTGATAAAATAATATATTAAAACTTAACGCATATCAAAGTATAAATTTGATTTAATTAACAATATAAGAATTGATTGGCTGAAAATTATTGTATAATATAATAATAAATTAAGTTGATTAATTGAACTGATTGATCGAATAATTTACATCATTGTATTATTGTATTATTCGACTAGTATAAGAATTGGTCGATTGAAAATTATTTTTTAAAACAGGAAAATGATAATTCAATTCACCTGAGAATAGAGAGAAGTTGGATTTTATTTATCGTTGAATGTTGACAATTGAATTTGTAACCAAGGGGAGAGGGAAACAATGATGCAATCAATTATCCCTTCTTAACGTTTGGCATCTCCTGTGAATTTATTTGATGGTATTAATTATAGATGAAATCGTCATCTATTATCAAAGAGAAAAGAATCTGTGCTAAAATTGACCATTTGCTAGGATGATTCAAGCCTCGAAGGTGTTGACTAACCGTCTAATCATACTTTCACACGTTAATTACTCGCTGCAAAAAGTTAACACTACCGTGACGGCAAATCTAAAATTACAAGAAGATTATTTTAATAAAGCAAAAGCTAATCGGTGCCTTTAATTAAGATTCTTTTTTCCCACTAAATCAAAAACTCTTTTTTCATGAAAAAAACTATTGGTCCGGTAGCAAGTAAACTGGTTTCAGGTAAATTTCATTCTAATATATTAAGTTTTTAAATTACAAATAGTCACATTTGTTAAAAGGATTTAAATATTATTGTTTCCGTTCGTTCGAAACAAGATTAATCATATCTCTAATATTAAATTTGAAAAGTTTAAATATTATCGTTTTTGCTTTAAATAAAACTATTATAAATGCTTATATGAAATATAAATACCTCGATATGATTAAAAAAACCCCTCTTTCTTAGTCTCACCAAAATAAAATATCTTCCTTTTGATTCCGGCGAAAATTAGAATATTTTCAACTGTCTCTTTCTCTATCCTTTTAAAAAAAAATTATTTCATGTGGAATTCTAAAAAGAATCCAGGTATTTATATATTCACAGGAATAATTATTTTTTTTGGAAAAAAATATGTGAATTCTAATCGTTTTTTTTTTTTGTCAATCGTAAGATCCAGTGAGATTTAAGTTACACAACTATTAGATTAAATTACACCTGCGTGAATAACAACTGCAATTTTTATTTTTTTTATTGCTTTTTATACAAACAATACAAAGTGAGAGTTAGAGTATAACCTACTTGATTGTCCTGCTTTATTATTCTTTTTTTTCCTCCGTGTGTGAAGAAGAATACAAAGTTAAAATAATAAAATAATATCAAGTTACGTAGTTTCGTGTTGGGATTTTCTAACAATAACCAAACATGTTAAATATATCTTGTTTTATATGAAAAATTCATTAATTGGATACAATGAATTCTCTTACAAAACCAGAAAATTTAGTTTACTTAGGGGTTGTAATAAATTAAGAAATTTTATAATACTTAAATTGTAAGTACATTAGTCATTTCATGGATTAACTTTTGAAAATAGAGATAAAAACATAAAAAAAAATTACATCTAACCCATCAAAAATAATAAAAAAAACTTTATATTAATTTAATTTTTTGAAAAAAAATTATTTTCTTTTTGTGTCTATCTTTTTATATGGAGTAATTTACACTAATTACTCTTTGAATATTATAAAATCCCTCGTAATAAATTCTTAACTACTGTATATAAAATTTGAATTAGAAAAGGCTTGAATGTAAAATCCTAAGCCAAAACGTTCAATTAATAAAATTAATTAACATCTTAGTAAAATTACTAAGTATCTTGTACAACTCAGTTTTGTCATATATGTGTATTCCTTGACAATGTCTTTTCAAACTTCCTCCTGCCAAGGGACAAAAACACGCAATTAGACAAACAAACATGACCAAACATGGTTTTGTTTTTCATCTTTCAACTATTTCTTATTCTAGTGTTGTCAAACCTACTTTTCCCACCCCATAATCAATTCAACCAAACTAGTCTACCCTAAATAATTGAATTTCTCTTTTTTCAAACTTAACCCACTTTCATGTTTTTATCAACTTCTTTAGTTTGGTCTCTCATTTCTTTATTGCTCCCCTCCTACCCCACATAGAACTTTTCAAACTCATCTCAGCCATTAGATCACAACCCTTCTTTGACTCTCTCCCCTATATCAACCCCCTTCAAGTTCCATTCTTTCTCCCACTCTTTCTCTTTCTCTTTCTCTTCCTCATGTCCTTCTGAGCTCTGCCTCTCTCTCTCTCTCTCTTAAAAAAAAAAAAAAACCTTTTTTTGTTTGTCCAAACATGGCGGTAGAGCTAATGAGTTTTAACCCAAAGATGGATGATCAGACGGCTATACAAGAGGCTGCATCACAAGGAATCAAGAGCATGGAACACTTGATGCGCATGATGTCTCATCAAAATAATCAGCACGTAGGGGATTGCACTGACCTTACTGATCTAACCGTTTCTAAGTTCAAGAAAGTCATATCCCTCTTAAACCGAACCGGCCACGCCCGGTTCAGACGTGGCCCGGCCCAACCGAACCAACAGGCCAATTCTTCGTTTTCCCTGTCGTCAACCCCCACTTCAACACAGTCACCACAATCACACTCACAGTCTCCCTCCGTCTCTCGCTTCCAGAACCTAACCCTAACTCCACCTCAAATCACACCTCCGGCCACCGCGCACCCTGCGGCGCCGGTGAGTATGACGCTTGATTTCTCGAAAGCGAATATATTTAACTCTAAGAGTGCGGAGATTGAGTTTTCGAAGGATAGTTTCAGTGTTTCCTCGAATTCGACGTCGTTTATGTCATCGGCGATAACTGGTGACGGCAGCGTTTCGAACGGGAAACAAGGATCATCGTCGATATTCTTAGGATCCGCCGGCAAACCGCCGTTGTCGACGGTGCCGTACAGCAACAAGAAGAGGTGCCATGAGCATCATCATGATGATAGTGTGTCGGGTTCCTCTAGCGGCAAGTGCCATTGCTCTTCTAAGAGAAGGTACGTGCGCGCGCACTTTAACTCCCAGCACTTTTTAGCAGAGTCCGCGCATTTTAACATGGTCTTGAATTTTCTATTCTTTAGGTTTGACTGGTGTTTAATTCAATGCTCTTTCCATGCATGCGTGACAGATCAAAAAAGATAAGTAGTTAGTTTGACTCGAGCTAGTTGACTCAGTAAACTCGACTGGCTCAAGTTGCAAAAAACCGAAGAAATTTAACGAAGACAGTAAATAAATAAAGGAGAAACCGAACTTATCACCTGATTTTAATTTTAAAGCCAATTCCATCTTAAATTGAATAATTTTATCCCAGCACTTTGTAATTCCATTTTCTGTTTAAACCGTCACAATTTTTTTAAACAAAATAGTCAAATTTTGTAAAAAAAAAAAAAAAAAAAAAAAAGGTATTGTTCTATTTTATATTAATGTTTGGAAATTTTCATTGGAGGACCTAATTGAAAAACATTTTAATTTAGGGACCTAACTGCAAATTTCTGATAATATAATTTGAGAGTATGATTTCGGGAACAGAGTCGGTAAAAAATTCAGGTAAATTGATTAGCTCATGGAAGATGGTGAGTTGGGGGTTCGAGCTATAGGGATGAGTCAACTCGGAGTCCGTTGTTGGTCAACGAGTTAGGGTTGTCGAACAGTTTACTGAGGTGGTAATTAATAATGGAGGGAGCACGCGTGATGGGGATGGTGACAAGGGTACATAATTGTGGAGGAGACCGCTTAGTGATAACGTTTGAACTTTACTGGTATAGACAGTTTTGTCTTTACACGTGGAGTTTGCTTAGTTGACTTGTTCTCCTTCTTGTCCTAATTTTGACCACTAAAATCGTGTTAGGTTAAATATTGCACACATTAATCATGTTCCTTGTTTTTCCGTCCGGTCAGTCTTCGTTGGTCAGTCGCGGATGGTTTATCTAAAACTCAAATTCCATCCGCTCGATCCGAGACGGATATGGATTCCATAGCGGACAGAAAGATGTTTTCGGATAAATATGGGTGTGGGTGGTCTGTTTAAAACTTGAAATGTATCCATCTCGATCTTAGTCGGGTATTGAGACGGATATGGAATGGGTTAAGAGGCTGTCGACTAGGCGAGGATAGATCCCTGGGAATAACAAAGAGTTTGTAGCTGAAGTGGCAGTATTTTCTTACGAGAAGAAGCTAAGGATTCAAAATTTAATAGAATAAGTTTGCTATAAGCGTTGGACTTGTGAGTTAAAAAACAAAATCCATAGGAATGATAAAATAACAAGATTTAAGATCATTGGAAAAACCAAAAATTTAACATTAACGTAACACAAATTTGAATAAAGTAATATAATTGAATGATGTCAACGAAGTAGACGATATTGAAGATTAAATTAATAATAATAGTTTGTTTAATGGATCCATGATTTATGCCATTAGCTGAATTAACGTTTGATTATTTTTATTTAATGCAGGAAAAATCGGGTGAAGAAAGTCATCAGAGTCCCAGCAATTAGTTCAAAAATTGCTGATATTCCACCAGATGAGTATTCTTGGAGAAAGTATGGTCAAAAACCAATCAAGGGATCACCATACCCAAGGTAATTAGTTAATTAGATTAGATTAATTTACAGATCAAAATAAAATCCGACAAGAAAGTTTTAAAATTTACAAGCTGGTTTGATTTGTCTCAGGGGATATTACAAGTGTAGTACGATGAGAGGGTGCCCAGCAAGGAAACACGTGGAGAGAGCAACGGACGATCCATCCATGTTGATTGTAACGTACGAGGGAGAGCATAAGCATAGTCCAAGTGCAATGGAGGTTAACATGGCTGGTGCTCATTCTGTTGTTGGCTTGGCGTTTGAGTCAACTATGATGGCAGAGGAATAAAGAAAGAAAGAAAGAAAGAAAGAAGGGAAAGGTTAGGTTTAGGGAAAAAAGATAATTAGACTTTTGTAACATCGAGATGGTTGAATTTGAGATTAGATTTGTATATTAAATTAAATTTTTATCAAGATTAGTGGGGGAGAATCTAAATCTGCCAAAGAGATCTTCAACGTAAATTAAAGAGTTTTATAATCTATTTGTTTATTTGTTTTTGGTTATTGGGTATCTATCTGTTTTTTTTTTAAAATATTTTTTTATAATTTGATTCTTGATTTGAGCAAAGGGCATCTTGGAGAGAGTGCTGCCAAAAGAAATGGTGAGTGACTGATAGTGGGTTAAGATTAAGATTAATTCTAATTAACTTGTGGAATGTGATGTTATTCCTTGCATATAGTAATCTAGCATAGAATCAAGTGAAGAATTTGTAATGTTGGGCTGTGTTTATTTCTCATTTTTATGAAAATTAATGAACTATTTTTGAAAAAAATGACTTCTGAGTTAAAAAATAAGAAAACGTTATTCTGCAAATAGTTTTTCTAGAATTATTTTTTTTATTAGAAGTTATTTTTCATTAAATAAATGGAGCTTTAATTTGAAAATCTTTCATTTGGGTTAAGAGTTGAGATTCTAAAAAATAAGAGGTTTTAACCTCAAAATTCTAAGAGGGTTGGAATTGAGGAGTCTCTACAGAAAACCCATTTTACATTCTTTTGAACAAATTAAAATGTGCGATAAATGGAAGATACAAGAGATGTGAAAGCTATTGGAAGACCAAAAAAATTCATGAAACATGATAATTTTGAAAGTTTAAATATTGAGAGAAAAACATTGACTTTGAGATTCGAATTTCTTTGATCACAGAAAGAAAAAATAAAATAATAAAAGCTGGCAAAGACGGTGAGTATAATATGGTTTGCTCGATATTTAATTAGTAGTGAGGATTGACCTAAAGCGTGTAAATTCTCTTTCTTTTATGCTGAGCCCAGCACATGCATGGTTGTCCGGCAAGCTAAGTAGGGTTTGTGACTTAGTTGAGTTTGTGTAAAGACAAGCTCATGCATGGGGTACTCATCCTCAACCAAGAACACCTAGAATTGTTTGGTATTACAGTCAAGTACGATTGGAAATGCAGTTGGAAAACAAAAAACTTCAATTTGAAAGTCTTTCAAATCTAAATACATTTTTAATCTATAGAAAATTAAACGATCACGATATCATCATGTTTGTTCAATAATGATTTATGGACACTAAAAATATTTATATCCTAATCAGAATAAAATGTTATTGATAATAAATTGATAAACAATTTTATCATATTCTCAATGTAACTCGATGAGTCTCATGGCAATATGAACAATAATGATATTTAGAATAAAAAAATTTGAATTTTCTTCTTAAAAAAAACTCGTTTTCTTAACACCGTTGTTATTTATCATTTTTTTTCGTATTTGTAATATTGTTTTTTAAAATCATTATTTTGTTAATAAATGAATTGAGTAAAAAGAGAAAAAAAAACAAAAACAAATCACATATACAAGATTTACTTAGTAGGATAAATTATGCATACTTCACGACTGAATTAAGAGTTTTTTATTAGAGTTTTTCAATTAACGACACCAAATATATGATATATTATGTTATTTATAGCATAAATAACTAAAATTATTAAAAGAAAAAAAACCTTGTGATCGTGAAATTTTTTTTTATGGCCTTGCCTTCGAAACTAACGAACTAATTCTGTATAGAATACTAAAGTGCGAGCCATTTTCACATTTTTCTCTATATATATTGACATAATTATTTAAAACAAACCTCCCTCCAATAAATAAAAAACTTATTTTACAAACATATCAACCATCGTCATCATCATCATCAACAACCAGCAAACCTCTTTGTTACACAACTTACGAAATAGCCTTTTTAATGTTACTAAATTCATCTACCATTGAGCTAAGTCTCTGAGGTGGGGTCAAAATAATATAAATGCAATGCACTGTAAAGCGAGTTGAGACTGGCACTGGAAAGCAAGCATGACCTTCCATTTGTCTTACTTAAATAGCAAGGCATCAATTATGATATTCTAGAACTTTCTAGGGATATTTTGAGTTAATCTTTAGCCAAGAAATTCAGGCACCATGCCATGTTAAGATGGGGTCAAATCATGATCGCAATCTCAACGAATCATAGTCTTATCATGTGGGCGGAATTCACCATTGAAAATTGTGCTTTCATGTATTCTTTTGAATTGAAAGGGAGTGACCATAGATAGTCCAAAAAAAACAAAAAATTATCATGATTTCGTAACTATTTTGTTTGACTTTTTGTAAAGACCAAGAACAAAACTTTTAATTGTTATATTATATTAATTTTTATTCATATTTTTTAAATTATATTTGAACTATTTTTTTATAAAATAAATTTTGATAAAATATATTATTTAAAATGTTGATCAAGCAAATATTTTAAGACAACATAAATAAAAAAATTATTTTTTTATTTAAAATAATAAAGATTCGAGCTTTATTTGATCAATATAAAATACCAACCACTTAATGTATAATCATTATATCAAATTTACATATTTGAAACAACATTTTAGTAAAGATATGATAGGATTAGTTTGGTTTTAAAAAAATTATTATGTTTTTGGGCGGAATTGACCTTTGGGAATTGTGCTTTGGTGCATTCTTTTGAATTGAAAGGACGTGATCATAGCTAGTCCAAAGAAACGAAAAATTATTATGTTTCCCAACAACATTATCTTTGATTGCATTATCCTTTAACTTTTCATATAAATTAAAAAATTATTAAATATTATATCATATCAATATTTTTATTTATATTTTTTAAAACTACTCCTTTTTTATATTCATATTTGAATAATTTTTTTTATAAAATAAACTTTAATTAGAAATATTTTAATAAAATACATTATTTAAAATTTTGATTAAACAAATATTTTGAGACAAAGCATATGAAAATATGGATCATCTCTTTGGAACATAAAGAGTAATGTCTATTTTATTTTTAAAATAACTGAGACTCGAACTTTATTTTATCAATGCTAACCACTTAATGTATAATTAATAGATTAAATTTAAATATTTAAAACAGTATTTTAATAATCATATAATAGCATTGGTTTGGTTTTAATAATTAAAATTTTAACCAGATTAATATTTTGAAACAACATAAGTAAAAAAATACAATCTCTTTGAAACAAAGAGAATAATGCCTCTTTTATTATAAAATAATTACGACTCAAACTTTATTTTATCAGTATAAACTGAAACGGTGTATCAAATTTACATATTTAAACTAATATTTTAATAACCATATTATAGCATTATTTAGGTTTTAATAAAATGTTCAATCCAAAAAGATTAACCAATTGTCAGATTGATATATTTAATATATTTATATTTAAACATTTTTAATGCAATAAAAAAACTAAGTTAACAAATTTTTTAATATAAAATCTGATATCTAAAAAAAATATTTGGTGTTTTAAAAAATTACTGTAAGGGCGGCTTTAATTAATAATTAATTTTTATATAAAGTTCCACTGGGGTAAAAGTATGCGTTACATCAAGTACCATCATTTCCAGGTAGAGTTTTAGTTGTCAATAATGGTGGTAATCAGATTCCTTTGTCTCTTTGTACCTGAAATCCACGAAGAATCAAGGATGATCCATCAGCATGAAAGCCACGTGTACACAAAAAGCTGATCGAATCTTTTCCTCCTCACCATCCGATACAAACCTCCTACCTAATTTGAAAATTTAAAATTAAGACGCTTTAACTATCTTTTAACCTTTTTTGAAACTCAAAACTTTTTTTTTTTTTTTTAAATCGCAATTCTTCTTTCTTGCAAGCAACATCTAAGAGGGGTTTTGCTTTGCATAAAATATTTTACAAAAAAAAAGTATTTTTTGATTTTCCTGTGTGTATTTATCTTATAATATTTATAAAAAGTTTGGTCAACATTAAAATATTTTAATATCAATTTTAAAACCTAAATCATTTATTTAAAAATATTTTGATTTGTGAAGTGTCATAAAATATCTTACGAACAATAATTTATTAATCATGTCATTCAATAATTTCAACCATTGTTATCATTGTCACAATTATAATAATATCATAACAACCATTATAGTAGCTGTTCTTTCACCCTAATTGACAATTGCTATCACAACAACCATTATTACTATATCATAATACATAATCTTCATTCTACTATTATCGAATTATTTTTTTATATAAACCATGGTAAAATATTTTTTATTCATAAAATAATTTATACAAAACAAACACCTTTTTAACTATCGATTTTAAAATATTACATTAAAAAAGATCCCATGTATTTTTCCTTTTTTCTAATCTCAGTATTCTAATGAGATGAGTATTTTCTCATATGGTAAGTGGATACACTTATAGTTTGCATTAATTTCGAACCTAAGTTTGCATTAATTTCTTTTTAAGTTTTATCCAAAATTAAATTTTGAAACCTATATGTTATGAAGTATTATCTTCTTACACTCCTTTGAAGTTTAATTCACATTGGAAAGTGAGTTTACTTCGCATACCATAATTCAAGTTTTTAATCCTCAGAAAAACCCATAAAAAAATTTCATGATAAAATATTATTTTGGATATAAATAATCTGTTTAATATAAATGAACGACTTGCTTAAAATCCGAGCTAGTGCGAAAACGGCACCGTTATAAATGCTGTAATCGACAGGTCGTGTACATAGAGAATAAAACGACACAGATGGAGAGAGAGAGAGGGACGGTGAGGAAGTACAGAGAAGCTTTTTGCCTTACTGTCTTCCACTTTGGCATCACTGGACCTTGCAAAAAAGTGACCTGTAAAGCTCTATCTCTCCTTCTCTCTCTTCAGATTTAGGGTTTCCTTTTCTCTTTGAATCCAGAATCCCTCCATTTCATCAGATTCTCTGACTCACTGGGTCAACTCGCTCTTTCAAGCTTTTTAAAAGATTGAAAAACCAAGCAAATTTCATCAAGTGAGTTTCTTGCACTCTTACATTCTCTTATCTACCTAAAAAAACCAAACTTCACGAAGGTTTGTTAGTTACTTGTAATGATTGCTTTGTTTGTTTTTAGTTTGGTCTGAATTTGGTGAAGTTTTGTTGAAGATTGTAGACATGAGGATTTGTTGTTACATGAGTCCTGGTTAGTAATAATTAACTATCAGAAGAACCCAAAATCATCAGATCAAAAAAGTTCAAATCTTGATTGCTAATTTAGCTTATTTAGGCATAATCAGTGAGACCCAAAAGTTCTAAAGTTTGGTTTAATATAGCTATTGAGCTTAATTTGAGTCAAACCCAGAAGTTAAAATCTCTGATTTTTGGGATTGTAATGGCTGAATCAGTGAGGAGTGATGGTAAAGGTAATGATAGCATTGAGAATTTGATAGCTGCAAGGAAGTCATTGAAGTTAAGTTTAGAGAAGTCAAAATCATTAGGGTTTGCTCTTGAGAAAGCTGGGCCTAGATTAGATGAGATGAAAGAAAGGTTGCCTTCTCTAGAGGCAGCAGTGCGCCCCATTCGTGCGGACAAGGAAGCACTTGATGCTGCTGGTGGCCATATTAACCGTGCCATTGGCCCTGCAGCTGCGGTGCTTAAGGTTTTTGATGCAGTTCATGGGTTGGAGAAGTCATTGCTATCAGATCCGAGGAATGATCTTCCTGGGTATTTGGCGGTGTTAAAGCGACTCCAGGAGGCTTTGAGATTTCTGGGGGATAATTGTGGATTGGCAATTCAGTGGTTGGAGGATATAGTGGAGTATTTGGAGGATAATATTATGGCAGATGAGCGGCATCTTTTGAATTTGAAGAAGTCATTGAAGGGTCTTAGGGAATTGGAAAGTGATGATGACAGAGCTCATCTTGATGGTGGGCTTTTAAATGCTGCATTGGATAAATTGGAAGGTGAGTTTCGGCAGCTTTTGACGGAACATAGTGTGCCACTGCCAATGTCATCATCTTCAACGCTTGGGGAACAGGCTGTCATTGCACCATCACCATTGCCCGTGTCTGTTATTCACAAGTTGCAAGCCGTTCTTGGGAGGTTGAGGACTAATAACAGACTTGAAAAGTGCATATCGATTTATGTAGAAGTTCGCAGTTCGAATGTTAGAGCTAGTTTGCGGGCACTGGATCTGGATTACCTTGAGATCTCAATAGCTGAATTCAATGATGTGCAGAGCATAGAAGGTTATATAGCTCAGTGGGGCAAGCATTTGGAGTTTGCTGTGAAGCATCTGTTTGAAGCGGAGTACAAGCTTTGTAATGATGTTTTTGAGAGGATTGGCTTGGATGTTTGGATGGGGTGCTTTTCCAAAATAGCTGCTCAGGCTGGCATTCTCGCCTTTCTTCAATTTGGGAAGACTGTTACAGAAAGTAAGAAAGATCCAATCAAGCTTCTGAAATTGTTGGATATATTTGCATCTCTGAACAAATTAAGGTTGGATTTTAACAGGCTTTTTGGCGGAGCAGCTTGTATTGAAATCCAAAACCTCACGAGGGATCTCATTAAGAGGGTGATTGATGGGGCAGCTGAGATTTTCTGGGAACTTCTTGTTCAGGTGGAGTTGCAAAGGCAGATTCCTCCTCCTCCAGATGGGAATGTTCCGATACTGGTGAGCATCATTACCGAGTACTGTAATAAACTGCTTGGGGATAATTATAAACCAATCCTGAGCCAGGTTCTGGTCATTCATCGAAGTTGGAAGCATGAGAAGTTTCAGGAGAGGATTCTTGTCGGTGAGGTTTTGAACATAATTAAAGCCATTGAGCTCAATCTGGAGACATGGACAAAGGCTTATGAAGATGCTATCCTGTCTAACCTTTTTGCCATGAACAATCACTATCATTTATCCAAGCACTTGAAGGGAACAAAAGTTGGGGATCTCTTAGGGGATTATTGGTTTAGAGAACATGAACAGTACAAGGACTATTATGCTGCAATCTTCTTGCGAGATAGTTGGGGGAAGCTTCCAGGTCATTTAAGCCGTGAAGGCCTAATTCTATTCTCAGGTGGGCGTGCCACTGCCCGTGATCTTGTCAAGAAAAGGCTGAAAACTTTCAATGAAGCTTTCGATGAAATGTATAAGAAGCAGTCTAGCTGGGTTGTGCCAGATAGAGATCTCAGGGAGAAGATATGCCACCAGATTGTGCAGGCAGTTGTACCTATTTATCGGAGCTATATGCAGAACTATGGTCCTTTGGTTGAGCAAGATGGAAGTTCAAATAAATATGCAAAATACTCTGTGCAGACTTTGGAGCAAATGCTGAGCTCGCTATTTCTGCCCAAGCCAGGAAGATATGCAAGTTTCAAAGGCAGGCAGCTTAGTGACAAATTCAGTGTTGCAGATCTTCGACGTACAACCTCTGCGGTGGTGTGATGTTCCTGCTATTATTACTTTATGTTGGTTATGCTGAAAGGTAATTAACTCAAACATCATCCCTCTATTGGTCAGGGGTCAGCTCTTGCACTGTACATATTTGTATCCTTGGGGGCCTGAGACTGTTTCAGAATTTTTTTATTTTAGCAAAGGAGCTTCTTCAAAACTTTTTCAGACCATTGTCTAAATTTTCTTCATGATACCAAAATTTCACAAGCTGTTTAAATGCAAAGCAAACTGAGTACTCTCTCTAGTGCCTGGAAGGTTCTGCAACGCTGGGGAGTCCCAGACATTATGATGAAAGCAAAGATGGGCCTTATTGAAATCGTAGATAATACTTTTGAGGTATAGATTGTCATTTTACTTTCATTTTCGCTCTCATTTATTCAGTTAGTAGGCGGCTGTAGAAACCTTGGATTTCCTAGATTTGTGTACAAATCTTATGAAGAGCCATTAGAGGTCTAGCAGGAATTAAATTATTTACTTGTATTCTGAAAAGGGTATAAATGTTTGTGTGGGGGGTTAATGGATGATCATTCTATGCCATTGCTGGTTTTAGAAGTTAACATTGTATTACAGCCTTTGAGTTTACTAGAAATATTGTCAGCAAATAAGATGTTGGCTCCTTTAGCTTGTCTTATTTTGTCATGTAAGAGAATTCTTCATTGTTTAATAACTTGTCAATATATGATTCATGCTTTCATTGATCTATTACACTATTGAATAGGAGAAGATGCTTTAGCTTTGAGTACTATCACTGTTGGTTTTTGTTTCTCGTCTCATTTGGACATCCTACCTTGGGAATTGGTTGACTTGGATGTGCACCAGTTGAGGCTTGCTTTTCAGGCTGATGTGTGGATCTTCATGAATGACTCTTTGAAAGCTTTTATATCATAGATCTTCTAGTGGTCTTTTCTTCTTAGACATTCCTGATTCGTGACCTACAACTAATGATCTTTCTATCAAGTTGCTCCTTCTAAGTTAGCTGCTTGGCCATAGTTCCCTGCAGCGTTGATCTCCCACATCATGCTCTTCTATTCTAGATTTTCTATGAAGTCATGTTTCAATCTCCTCTTATTTTGTTTGGCTTATAACAAACTATATCCTGAATAAAAAAATTCATCAAGATTTGTAGAATGTCTTGAACGTAAACAGATTATTCCCAAACCTGGAAAAGAATGACCGCCAAGTTAGGGTGGCCAGAATCTGGAATTTCAACGTTAGTCTATGAATGACGCATGCCATTGGTGAAGAAGTTGGTTTTCTTCTTTATTTCTTTTTCAAAAAGTATAAAGAGACGCAAGGTCATGGACCCCACTTGAAAATATTGAAGGAGTAAGATCTGGATCATTGAGTTTTGGATGCACCAACGTCATCACCGAGGTTTGGGATTGGGATGGAATCTGATTCTCAAAAAGCACTTTGATGCCCTTTCTCGAAAGGTGCCTTAGGGCAGATGGAACTTTTTTGTGGATAATAGAAGGAATATTTTTGAAATGCTTTCCACTGTAGTGGAGTTTTTTCCTGAAGCAATGGACTTTTAGATATTTATTTCTTAAACGGAGTGTTTTTAAACTTAATTTGTCTCAGGGGATATTACAAGGATTTTGTTTCATTTTGTAAAGTTTTTCAATTTCTGCTGCCAATATGTCTAATAATAGACTCCTTAACCTAAAAAAAAACTTACCAAATAGAGGAAATTCACCGAAAATTTTGATCACCAAATGAAGGAAGCTCGTTGAAAATTTTGATCGAGCACTGTGTCCGTGCATGATAATAGGCATCTCGCTCAAGATCATGTCTATAATATTGTAATTGAAATCTGTCTTCAGAAAATGGAAAATGAGTTAAAATTGTAAAAGATTTGAATGTATTTAAGAGTATATTCAACATCATGTCTATAATATTGTATAAGAACCCCAACCCTACCAAAAAAAGGGCTATGAAGCCAGGACACTGGACATTCACAGCGATAATTTAACACAAGAAATTCTATTTTCAAATAGTACAAGAACAGCCACCCATCTAATGATGATTTTCTTGCCGGTCTGATCATTTTCATGACTGCAATAGAACCTGTACTTTATGTTTCCCATGTCTTCCACTTCTAAGAAGTTTTTCTTTAATCGCCACCAGCTCAACGGTAGCCTCACCGATATCCATCCTTTCGCCAGGCAATTCAGCAGAACAAGCAATTCCTACTTCAAATACTGAAACAATGCAGTCCTGCACTTGGCTGTTCCACATGTAACTGCTCGTCTCTCCTTTTATTTCCTGAACAAGATTTGGATCCAAAATTTCTTCCACTTGATTCGGCAAAGCAGCTTTTGTGTAGGTATGAAGGTTCAAACTGTCTGTAAAAATTTCGTCAGTCGGTCTCTTTCCTGTGAACATCTCCAATAATAGTATTCCATAACTATATACATCACCAGATGTCGACACTTCATTTCCCATACCATATTCTGCAATTGCACACAGCATGATTGTTATAGATAAGAAAATCTAAATATGTTCTTGTTTTCCTTGTGGGATTGGGGGTGATTGAAAGAGATATCTACTAAAGATAGGAAATAGGTAATGCAAATACCTGGAGCAGTGTAACCAACGGTTCCTGTTACTCCAATGGTGCTTGACTTACTAATGGATGAGTCATTAGTGGCTTCAGGAAAGAATCTTGCCAGGCCAAAATCTCCTACATGCCCTGTCATTTCTTTGTCGAGGAGAACATTGCTTGTCTTGAGATCACAGTGAATGATTGGTGTTCTGCAACCGTAGTGAAGATACTCTAGAGCACTAGAAATATCAATGGCAATGTTGAGTCTCTGAACAAGGTTCAAGCTCCTTGGTGACTCGTGTGCCTCGACAATTCTGGGAGTTAACGGATGCAGCCACTCCTCTAGGCTTCCATTGACCATGAATTCATAAACCAAAGCCTTGAAATCATTTCCTTGATAGTCACTACCAGAGCATACAGTCAGTAGCTTGACAAGATTTCGATGTCTGACATCCCGCAAGACCTCACATTCGGCTTTAAAGCTCTTGGAAGCTCTGGGGTTAAGAAGGTTTAGCACCTTCACTGCAACAAGCTTTTCATCATTATCAAGTATGCCTTTGTAGACAGACCCAAAACCACCCACACCAAGCAAGTTAGTCGAGGAGAACCCATCGGTGGCTTTGAGTAAACGATGGTAAGACATTTGGAAAACCGAGTTCTCAGGAGAGGTTGGACTGGGTTCCACTTTTTTCCTCTTCACGAACAAGAGAAACAGAGAAGTTAGGACCAATGCTGCACAAAGAAGTGCAGAAGCAGCGATGACTAGTTTCATGGCAAGTGTCAATCTCCCCTTTTTAGCCCTTTTGAAGTTGCATTCGGGTAGCTGAAATTCAGCAATGCCGCCACATAGCTTACTGTTTCCTACCACCGAAACTGCACTCGAATTCTGAAACACTCCATCAGTGGGTACCAAACCCTCGAAATTATTGAAAGATAGATTCAAGGTTGCTAACGTGTGAAAATCCTTGAAAAATTCTGGAAAGTTTCCAGTCAAGTTGTTGTGTGACAGATTTAAAACTTGAAGACCTCTCAATGAAATAAAAGATGAAGGAATAGTCCCCTGAAAGAAGTTGTTTTGCATGTACAAAGACTCCAATCTTACACAACTGCCAAGGGCTCCTGGAATTTCTCCAGACAACATGTTATGAGAAATATCCAATATTCCAAGATTTGTCAAAGTTCCAACTTCTGTAGGAAGGGCACCAGTCAAGCTGTTCCGCGATAGGCCCATATAGATTGTCAAGGATGGGATGCTCATAACTTCTTTGGGGATTGCACCGGCGAGATTATTTTGACCGAGATTCAATAAGAGCAAGTTTTGGCATTTGCCAAGCTCCGGTGGGATGCTACCCTCCAAACCGCTTTGATACATGTAGAGATGAGTCAACAGCGTTAAGTTTCCGAAAGAAGATGGAACACTACCTGAGAATTTGTTTCCATGCAGATCCAATTTCTTTAGCTGTTGAAGTTTTCCGATTTCTTCAGGAATGCCACCTGTGAATTGGTTGTTCCCCATATACAGCATCTCCAAGTTAACCAGGTTTCCTATACCAGCTGGGATGCTCCCAAATATCTTATTAGAATCCAGGGTCATTATGCCAAGACTGGTAAAGTTAGTGATTGCACTAGGCAACATCCCACCAAAATTGTTGACGTTTATAGCCATTAGCTGCAAACTAGTTGCATTGCTCACAGTAGACAAGAAGTCCAAATCACCAGCTTGCCCAGTTCCAAGATCATTTGTAGAGATGCTTAGCCACCAAAGTTTATGCATCTTCTCCAACGAAGGCACGCTTCCAGTAAATCCATTTATGGCGATAGTAAGCCTTTCCAGGTATGTAGAGTTGGACAATGAAACAGGAATGGCTCCAGTGAATTGGTTGTCACCAACATTAAGCTCAACAAGGTAAGGAAATCTGTTGCCCAAGTCTGAGGGGAGAGTCCCTTCAAGTTGGTTTTCTGGGAAGCAAAAAATACTCATAAAAGAAAGATTGTATAGTGATGAAGGGATGGTACCAGTCAAGAAGTTTCCACCCATTGAAATGTAATACAAGTTCTTTAGTTGACCAAGAGTATCAGGGAGAGTTCCACCAAAACTGTTGAAGGTTGTACTCAGCACTTGTAGAGATGAATAGTTGCCGAAAAATGGAGGGATTCCTCCTGTCAGATTATTGAACTCAACATTCAGCAATTGAAGGCTCAATAAAGAACTGAATTCCGATGGAATCCTGCCTATCAGCTTGTTGTAACCAAGAGTGATGGTGGTAAGATTCAAGCAACTTGAAATATTAGCAGGAATTTCTCCACTGAGCAGATTATTATGCAACTGCAGCTTCCGCAGCCTGCGCAACCGGCCTAAATCCCGAGGAATTTCGTTGCCGAAGCTGTTGTTATAGAGATATAATCCTTGTAGAAAGCTGAGATTTCCTAGATGTGGTGATATGGACCCCTGGAGAAACTGTGAGTTAAGGTCCAAAACTGTAACCCTTTGGTGCTTAGGGCTACATTTGACCCCATACCACAGGCAAAAATGAACTGATGTATTCCATAAGTTCATGATGCCAAGAGGGTCATCAGTGATTTTGGTCTTGAATTCAAGCAAGGCTTCTTGGTCTGTTTCATTCCCTCCTCCATTAACAAAGCCAATAATGCAAAAGAGGAGAATGATTGCATGATGAACACAAAATCTTGCGATTGTACTCATCAGGAAATTAAAGTCAAAATTTCACACTAATCTTTTGGTTCAGAATTAGGTTATATTTATGGGGTGGTTGAAGCGATCATCAGGATTTCTTGGGGCGTAAGCTATAAGGAAACCTTTTCTTTTTTCTCATTTTACACCAAATTTGGTAGACTTTTGGGGTTATGAGGAACCTAACATTGCCCTTTAATTGTCCTCTAGGTGTCACCTCGTGTGCTCGCCGGCCGGGTGGCAATTTTTCAGTGAATGTTTTCGTTGACTATAACCCTTTTTTATCCTCATTTTCAACTTGCTTGCCTCATCGGAATGCTGAATCTATACGTTTATTTGTCAAAGATAGGGACAGTGTGATGTATATATGTACACCTTCCCTATTCATTTTATGACTGCAAACTGGTTTCAACTGGACTGCATGCATTTATGGAGTTCTAAAAGAACGATGTCCGTGCTTCAGCATGTTTCTAGAAAGCATCATCTTCGTCATGCCAAACATCATTAAAATTCTCTAAATTAAGCTTTGAATTCTCATTTAAGGAAAAAAAAAAAACAAGAGGCAAATTTGATTAGATAACATATATAGAATTTAGAATGAGTGGTCGAGCCCATAATCTCAAGAAATTTTAATGGAACTCAATGCTTGTAAATCAAACCAATCACGTTAATTATCTTGGTTTGTTGATAGCAATTCAACAAGAACAAACTTCTTCTATAATTGACGTATTAGTATCGTTAATGAAAAAAAGCTTTCAATGAATTTCTATCAGACGACCTTCACAAGGTCTTTAATTATAACATTACAATCGTGCATGGTTCAGGTAATGGGGAATTTTGATGAGAATAAATATAAATTCTTTGTTTGAGCAAACATGTATAGGAGCGTTATGAAAACGTTCAATTTGTCTCGAATGTGATCCTGATATTTTGTAAGACACTTTAAATTTCTACAAAAATAAGTGTTTTTTTCTTGACAAAAATATATTTATATGCACAAGGAAAAATTATAAAAAAATATTAATTTTTTGTTAATTAATGAAGAATGGAATATAAAAAAAAAATTCTTTATCAAATTAAAGCAAATCAATTTAATGATTTTTTGTCTAAATGTTACCTACTTTCAGTGAAGTTGTCTAAATTTAAGCTCTACAAAAGCATTAACCATAAAAACATGTATTTGGACTATTTTTTTAACGAAATAAAATTTAATTAAGAATATTTAACAAAGCATGTCATTAGAGATTTTGATTAAGTAAATATTTTGAGACATATATAATTAAAAAAATAGATAGTTATATTTTTCAGACAGGTAGAATTAAATTAGTTTTTATTAGGATCTTATTTGGTATGTGTGAATGATAAAAATAAAAATAAAAATAAAAATAATAATAATAATAAAATTTCTTATTGAGTATATCTACAACTCATTTTCACGATATATGTGTGTGTGTTTTTTTTTATATATATTTTTATCTTATGTTGGAGATAGAACTAATTAATTATATAATTCAAAGCACAAGATAAAATTTAGCTTCCTTAATCAAAGCAACTCCAGAATTCAAACTCTATTTTTTTTTTCTATATTATAGTAACATGAAATTTTCAAATTGGTTTTCATATACCATGATTAAATCTTTGATAAAGTAAAAAAAGGCAATGATATCCATTTGATAAAAGAAACATGCTGTCCATCAATGGATGGGTAGCTTGGCCTGCCATCATATTTGACATAGATGGAAGAAAGGACAACAGCCCAAAAGAAGGAAGAAAAAGCTCAAATTCTACTCTAATTTGAGGACTATATTAAGCATACAGATCTTAACTGGGCTCATTGCACTTTGCTGCCCAACAGCCTACAACATTAAATTGAAACAAAACGACATTAATTTGATAGAATCACCCCTCATCAATTTGAATCTAAAATTGTATTTTTCGAAAGAAAATCAAATAAGATTAGAGCATGCCCTTTTATTTTATTATTTTTATTTTTTCTTATATTGGGACGTAAGATAGATAGTATTATATTTTTCTTAATCTTAATCCTTTCATAATATTATTAAATGCTTTTACGAGAAGATTTTATTGAAAATATGAGAAAACGTCGAGAAGGCAAACCTCTCTCTCTATGTATATTGTTATTTGGATGGTAAATTTAAAATCTTATCGAAACAGAATTTGGATTCTGTGCCTAAAAATTGATCCAAAAATATTCTAATTTTTTTTCTTTCAAAATTCTTGTTTCATTTTATCAAAACTTCGAACTGATTTGCTGTTGTGTTGTAGGAAATTACTCTTGTGGTTAGATTATCAACAGAGATTTTTATAAACATATAAAGATCTATTGGTTGACTTGTGTTGATGATGGGTTTTCATACAAAAACCAAATGTCAATAGAGAAGCAAACTTTTGACTTTCTATCAACTAAAACAAATCAATTTTTCCCAAGTTCATACCAAAACCTAGTATTTTGCATGTTGTTTTTCTTGTAGAAAGTGCTGCACTTTCTTGGGCAGAAAATTTTCCACACTGTTCTTCTATTTGTGAGATTTTTCCATGTACATTCAAAAAGTCAACACGTGCCCTAAAACTCTCAAAACCACATAAACATTGTCTTCCCAACTTTGGCTCTTTATTGTTCTTTAAAAGTTGAAATTTACATGAAAAACTATGATGACAGACGATGATGGCATTGATAATGGAATGTCACATGTTTGGGCTTTTAAAAGTTTCCTGTGAGCAGACACGGATGAGTTTTTATTTTTTGGGTTTTGGGTAGGTATTATAAGCATTCAATGCACCAATTTTTAACCCTTTTTGTTACTTCTTTTCTTTAGTTGAATCATTGCCATGGAACTGGTGCAAAACCCTTGATTTAATTAGGGTTTAAATTAAGGCCTTTTTGGTCTCTATTTTATTACAATTTAATAATTTTAGGTTTTCGGGATCAAATTGCATAATTTCATTTCTAAACATTATTGGTTTTTTGATAAAATTGATCAAATTTTTCTAGTTACTCGTTATATAGGACTAAGTTGACCGTTACTTAGAAAGTCAAAACGACGTTGTTTTGATATTTCACTCGTTAATTATACTTTTTTTTAAATACATATTTTAAAAATATTTTTAACTCCTCTAATCTTGAAATTTTTTTTGTATAAATATTATAAACATTTATAAATATTTTTAAAACATTTTTTTTTATATAAAAAACCATAATTAACAAGGAACGTCAAAACGATATCGTTTTAACATTTTAAGTAACGGTCAAATTATATATAACGATAATTAGAAAAATTAGATTAATTTTATAAAAAAATAATAGTTTGAGGTTGAAATTACATGATTTGATACTAAGAATCTAAAATTACCTAATCGTAATAGAATGGAAGCAAATTTTGCTGTTAAACCATTTAAATAACACTTGTTTAAGCATAGACACACCCTAAATTTTACAATAGATTGGTTGTAATTGGTGACTAGAATTTAGGGATGGGCATTATTTTCCAAAACTATTTTAATTGTATTTATTATATTTTAAAATAATATTTAAGTTTCTAATATGTTTTTTAGATTAAATTTTCTGAATATGAAAAAAAATTTTGACCGCCAATATTCATGACTGAAATGTAAATAAAAATAATTCTAAAGATTCATTCAAAAACTAAGACAAGGACTTTGAGGTTTTTTTTTTTTTTTCCTTCAGTCAGGGACATTTTTGTAAAAAAATATTTGTATGATCGAAAAAACCGATCGAAATGACACACTGAAAAGTTAGACATTATTCAAAAATGTAATAAAATTAAAAACATAAGAATAGATTAGAAATTCAAGCTATTATATAAAAACTGACGTAGCTATTTATTCGAAAAAATTTAGATAAATTAAGAAGTTAAGAAAGATCCTAAAAGATCATCGCTTGAGCTAGGGTGGATGTCCTCATATAAATCAAGTACAAGGATAGAAAATTTGGAAAAGTCTTCTCACACCCACTCTATACGTATGATATGAGCTGATTATTAGAATAAGCAGCTATAGCGAGTATAGATATTTATCAATGGGTGATATGACATAAAATACATCAGAATTATTACTTTGTTTTTTCCATTAGGAGTGTTCATGCATGTAGACAGAAATCGTGAGACAAGTTGATAAATTGGTTTCAAAATAGCGATAGCCATTTTCTCAAATCAATCCCAGTGCAAAGTTTGAAGTTTGATGGTCATGATGGCATTACTAAGTCAAATTCACACCAATTTATTTTTCTTTGCACTTTGAATCATCACTATCCACTTTAATAAAGGAAACAAAGAATCATCTAACATAATCAATTTTAAGTAATTACAACAAAAAGGAATCAGAAATCTGCTCGTAATCTTGCACAGCAAAAAGATTATTAAAAAAACAGAGACATGAATTAGTGGTTTAGTTGTCAGGTCCCACCTTGGATTATTGCTTTTTTTTTTTTTTTTGAAGCACCAAAGATAAAGCATAGGTTTCATTAATTAGATTATCTAAAGAGATAAGGTATAGGTTAGGACCAAGAGTAGAGCAACCATTGGTCTTTCTTAGCATTGACCTAATTTCCTCCAATAAGGTTTAATTAAATAATTTATACAATCAAATGATCACGTTATCACTACGTAAGATAGTTTTTACACATTCAAACCAAAAATTTCCTTTTGGCTTAAGTTTTACACAAATGATCTATACCCAAATTATACATCCATGATAATTTATTTTTTCGAGTATCTTTTGAAATTCGAATTCTTATATAACACCGTGAGAGCAAGTCCATTTATTATCTGAAAAAATAATTTAATTAAATAATTCATAATATTGAACGATCAAATTATCACTAAATCAATTTCTATAAATTAAAACTATTTTTTTCTATTAGGTTTTATACAAATGATCCACATACTTGTATTATGTATCTATAAAAAAAATAGATAAATAGCTCGATCCATTCTAATTTAGTAATTTAAATGTTCTATATTAAGTTTTTAATTGCATTCTATCTCGTCTTTTAAATTTTTTGAAATGTTCGGTTCGTCATTTTGATTAATTTTTTTTAAAAAAATTGATTGGAAAGACATATTGGATAATTTATTTTTTTAAAAAAAATATAAAATACAATTAAAAAAAATGAAAGACTCAAAATATTATATAAGTACAAATTGAGCTGTCTATCATAACATTTTTCTTTCTTTTAATATTTTATGAAATTCGAATTCTCATATGATACCATGAAAACAAATCCATTTATTATTTAAACCAACTTGTTCATAAGAGAGAGTACACAATTTAATATTACCTATTAGTTAAAGGCTAGATTAGAATATCTGTCGGCCAGTGAAGAAAAGTCCACCATGTATAAGCAAAAATCTGATTGGCATTTCTTGTCAAATGGTGTTCATTGGCATGTGTAGATCCTAAGCTATAAAAACAATATATAAAGTAATCTAATCTATGAACTAATTAATATGCTTTCTTTTTGTGCAAATTGGCATTTTGTTACCGTAAAATATCTTGCAGTTGTTTTTGGATTAACAACTGGATCATCCATAAAGAATATTTGAGCCGTACAGATTATGGGTGCATCCCACGCATCAATGATTCTGTTTTTAGTTCTTACATTATTTTCACTCTTTGATTCCATTCAAAGGTGATTGTTAGTCAATTTGTGAGTTGGCTAATCCATTAATTAAGATCATACGTGAATTTAATTAATGTATTTTGATGTTCGAATTATCAATTCTTTATTCTTATAATTTCATTTTTTTATTTAAGAAAATTTATTTTTTAAATATAAATTAATGAGTATTTTCGAATCAATTCATGTATCAACCGAACAAAATCAAAAGTTATTTTCACTGAAAAAAAAAAAGGTTATAAATTGATTGGTTCCTCTTCTCCCTCTTTTAGTCCTTTAGAACACCAGATCATCTATTTAGGGTTCCTCTTCTTCCTCTTACTGTTAATTCATAAAGTTAAAAAAAAAATCGTTTTTAATATCAAATTCTTTAATCGCCAACTTCTTTAATGGTCAACTAGCTACATGTAATGCCATATTTAAATCCCTAATTAAGAAGACTTTGTTTAAGGCACTATGCGAGAGTTGCAATTTTTTTGGATTCTCTAAAATATTCTAGATTCAAAAGTCCAGACTAATCCTTTATTATTTTGTTATACGTATAAGATGAAAATAATTATTCAAGAGTTTTTTACATATATAAAAACTAAAACTCGGTACCAGAGCTTATTCCTCCTGTATCAAACTTCTTGGGTAGAGTTGTAATTTTCTTATGTTAAGTTACAAGAAATTTTGTCATGGATAAAGAAACATCATTTTCTTTAAATTGTCATAAACTACGTAAAATGTAAGTTGAATATATTAGATGTCCTTTTATGTTTTAAACTGTTTGTACTTAAAAGTATTTACCAAAAAACTGTAAAATAAATTAAACACATCTTGAAATAATTTAATCTCAAAAATTAAATTGAAAACTATGTAATTATAAAATTAATATTCTAAGTATATCTTTACATTCGTTTTCATAATCCATAAGTATATGTGAATGTGACCATACGAGACAAACAAAATATACTCTAAGATGACGTTATTGTATTCTTATTCTTATTATTATTTTATGACGAAGTCATTGTTATTGTAATTAACAAAGAAACAGTGTCATGATATGCCAAATCTTATCCTTGATGAAATAAATATGTGCAAACATCAAATTATATATTCTTTTGTGTTGCTTAGTTTAGTTAATCATATTATCTTCTATGGATTTGTTTTACATGTATCCAAGCCGGTTCGTTCACGATCCATAATCTAACTCATCCATTGCACCAATTATAAAAAAAAAAAAAAAAAAAAACCATCATATGCATCATCAACTGAAATTTTCAATTCGTCAACAATGATGGGAAGAGATAGCTATCTTTATCGTATAAACCCTAAACTACCAAGCTTTTTAATGATAAAAAACTAAACTTGTGCACATTTCCCAAATCATTACACATATTTATTTGTCATTTATTATTTTTGTCTAATATTAACATGTTGTAGATTAATTAAAAAAAAAAACCCCACAATTGTGTCACAAGCTAACGAGGTTAAAGCACGAGGCTTAAGTAGTCTATATGAACAAATATGGGGAATGCATTAAATAGATCAACATGTTATCAGTCATGTAATAGATAAATGTAACGTGTTAATACATTGATTATATGAATATTAATTGTTTTTTTTGTTCTTTTTATCAAGCTTAATAAACTTATAAATAATAGAATATTATCGGATCAATTAAAATTAAATTTATGATTTTCAAACTAAATCAATATTAAAATACGTATAATTTTTTTATATCCTATAAATAATAATTGTTATGTTAATCTACTATTTCTCATATTGGGAAATTTTTTGACACTAACATGTTGATGTGGTTCATATTAAGTGCTTTAGTATCACAAGGCTCAAACCATGCATTAAGTATTAAAAAAAAAAATCATTTGTCAGTCGAAATAGACAAAAATTGTAGATAAATGATGAGTATCCCAACTTATGCTATAATACCTTCAAAAGATAATTCTCATGGTTAAATGGAGTTTGTTCCATTCTTTCATTTTGAAGTTCAAACATTAAGATTATCATCCAAAAAAATTATTCTCTAAATATATTAAAATGACATAAAAAACATATGCATTTTTAAAATCATTCGAAAAACAAATTTAGTATGTGGATGGATACCCCTTACCCACTCACTAAGAAGAAAATGAAAGAGTAATTTAATAAAAATTATTAAATTAATCATATCAACGCTGGTTAAATGACTAATTAATTATATATATATTTTTAAAAAAGACTATTTAATTGATTTTGTAAAACTAGGGGGATTAATTTATAATTTACTCCAATAAAGGGTTGGGTGAATGTCGTTTAGGAGCAGTCTCCCTCCGGGTCCTCTTCAATGGCGGATACGAGTAGTAGTAGCAGTGCCAGTAGTAGTATTTTTCTGGTCCGTGTCTTTGCCACGTCATCAAGAACTTTTCAAACCTAATCCCACGCCGGCGGACCTTATCATTCCACCCCTACCATATCCTTCGTAGTTCGTACTTATTTCACGTCTGTACGTATACAAATACGCGTAGATTCATGCATGTCTACAGTCCATTTGGTCCTTCTATTCTTAAAGTTCATCACTTTGGTCTACTAATTATTATTTTTGTTTTTTCTGAATGCGATCCTTCTACTATCCTGCCTTGTCTCTAATTTGTAGTATTATTTCCTTAACTATTATCAACAATAGATTGATGTTACTTTATAATAATTAATAAAAAGATAAAATAATTAAAAAGTTCGACCGTTATAATTATTTTTTATAAAATTAAAATATCTATATTTTAAAACCATATTCTTATTTTTTAAATTACTATTAATGATGAAAACTGATAAAGAGCTTTTTTTTGTTAATGTAAAAATTAATAGAAAATTATTGATAAAGTAAATTCAAGTGTATTATAATGTAAATACTTTAATATTATTGATATAAAACTAACAAAAATATATTACAATATGGTATTTTAAGTTGAAATGGCAATACTACGTTACCATTCAAATAATTAAAAGTTCACAATTATACAATTTCCGAGCAAAAATAAATATGATAAAATGATATTTTATTCAATTCGAGAAAGAGTAGCCAACGATGAAGTTAATTGCAAATCTAATAGCATGTATACCAATAGTCGACGAAGAGATACAAGGGTTACAAATATATAGTTGAGAAGTGATGTTAACGTAAAAATAATAAAAGAATCAAAATAAACAAATATACAAATATAGGGACCAAAAACACCATTAACCCAGGATGAACAGACACATATCCTTACATTTGTGTGCATATATATCCACTCGCTCGTGCCTTCTCTCTCTATAGCCCAAAAACTCTTGTTTTCCAAATTTGTGATCTTTCTTTCTCTCTCCTTAACCTTCACCCTCATCCACCTTATCCTGCACACCTTGTCTTACCTCAACTTGTGCTAACTTTTTCATGACAACGAACCCCTTCTGTAAACCAAAGAGAAGGAGAAGAAGACGAAGAAAAGGCTAAAACGGTAAAAAAATCTCATTTTCCCGATTCTCTTACCGTCAACCAATCGTTTACGGTTTGTGATTAGCCGTAAGAGCAACAAATTCATGGAGGTTTTGGTGGGACCCACTTTTAGCATCGGCGGAGATGTTCCCTCAAACGGGTCTCCTTTCGGTGTAGCTCCCTCGCCGCAAGAGAAGCACCAGGTTGGGGTGGCCCCGCCGTTTTTGTTCTTGAAAGAGGAAAATGGCGATGATGATGAGAGTCCGATCTCGAGCCGGGCCGGGTCGGGTATTCATCCGGATGATTTATCTGATAGTTCTTCGTCAATCGGAGCTCCAGATGATAGTGATGAGGAAGAAGAAGATGAAGACGACGGTGTTGCTTCGTCCGAAAAGACGAACGTGTTGGGTTCTTTGACTTCTTTAGAAGATGCTCTTCCTATCAAGTAAGAAATTAATAATTCTCCGTTCCTCGTAGTTTGTTTTTATTTGTTTTCAAGAACCCTTGATTAATTGAGCTAGAACTTACGATTTTTTCTTTTCTAATCTTCAAAGAAATGACTCTTTTATGCTTTTTTTTTTTTTTTTGGGATTTTTGAAGTTGATTTTGGTGTTTTTTGTTGATGATGTTTTTAGGAGGGGATTGTCAAATCATTTTTCAGGGAAATCAAAGTCATTTACAAATTTATCAGAAGTGAATACAGTAAATACAGTGAAAGAATTGGAGAAGCCAGAGAATCCATTTAACAAGAGGAGGAGGATATTAATGGCAAATAAATGGTCGAGAAGATCCTTCTACAGTTGGTCAAATCCAAAATCCATGCCTCTTCTTACTTTGCGTGAAGATGTTGACGACGACGATGACGACGATAATGATCATAGCAAAGGATTAAGAGGCCGACAAGATCAAGAAAGCAATGAAAACCCATCAAAGGAAGTGCTTACACAAGGCATGGTAGCAAGAAAATTGCAGGAGAGGAGGTTTTCCAAGTTTGGCATGAAGTCTCAAAGTTGTTTCTCTCTTTCAGATCTACAAGAGGAAGAAGATGACGAGGATGAAGATGAGGATGATCAATGACATCATTATTTTATTTTTAGTTTAGGTTTATTTTGTTTTTGTTCTCCAATTTACCAAAGTTTTTAAATAAAAAAAAAAACTATATCTTCAATGCAAATTTTATTATTATCTTTTTATGGCAGGAGAAGATAATGCAAGATGGATATGTTCATGTCATGGGCACCTTCGATTTTCGTTTCAGGAAAAGTAATACTTCCCATTTTAATGACAAATTTAGCCCTGGATTGATTTTGTCCTTGAGCTGTTTAGATAAGGATAACCATGGCTGTTTCTGTCCTTGCATGACCTGGTTCTAGCCAACTTTATCTTTATCCATGTAGCTTTAATTAGCTTTCTTCTTTTGTTTAATCATTCAAAACTGGTTGGTGGGCATGGCAGGATTGGTGAGGAGAGGAGAGGACTATACCAAGCTGATATTTTTATGGGAATTCACTGTTGGAAATTCTCGAATGAAGTATTGCTTGCCAACTGCGAAAGAGTTAATAATAAATGTGACAAGAAAATCAAAGCTTTTGATCTTATCTTCTCTATCTTTTCAAAGTTGTTTGATCTTATCTTTGAATAAGGAAAAAAGTTGGTGTGGGGATATTCAAGAATTGATTTTTATTGCCTGGCAATGAGGTTTGGATACGTGTATGCATGGACACATGGCAAGGCAAGGGATCATGCTTTGATCTGTCTCTGTCCTAACCCCAGCTTGGAAGCTTCTTCTGCTTGAAAAGAAACGTGCTTAAGTTTGGGTTTTGACAAGTTCCATGAAACATTTCAACGTGAGATTTGGGAAAGAAGCCGGTTCGGAATAGTCGTGTTTGATGCCCTGGATTTGGGGAACTTCTAGGAGTAAAGCATCGTTGAAATGTCTTGACAAGAGGTCTTTGAAATTAGGCGTTGGAGTGGTGAAAACTTGCAAGAAAAAATGGTCCAATGTTTTGGTGATTTCTTGGACAGAACCTGATTCTAAGTAGGTAGGTTTTGCTGATGCATATGTGTCGGCAAATGTATCATGTTTATTAACCAATGTCCGATAAAGTGTTGGTTTAAGCAACACTATTCTTCAATCAATTTTTTTACGAATTTGAACATTAAAATCATGTTTATTAAGAAGGATTAAACTTTATTATTTTCACTTTAAATTCAGTTAGTGTTATTTCTAATATGAGATGAGGATATCTTAAAAAACAAACTAAAAAAAGAAAAGAAAAGAATTTATATCTTATTTTATTTGACAGTTATACATATTCTTATATTATTTTGTTTTATTGGACGGTCAGGAGTATTCCAACATATCAAGTGAATTAATTTTTCAGGCGATTTTGATTAAAATAAATCGGTTCCTATACCGAAAGTTGATTTTATTTGTTTTATTCATTGGTTATAAGTATTCTTATGCGTCAATTGGACTAATATTTTATTATACGATTTTAAGAATACATCTTCTATTACAATAAATCATTAAAAAGAATAAATTCTTTTAATTTTTAAGAAGATTCAAGCTCAAGTTAAGAAAAAAAAACAATTTTGATTCATGAATATTAATCTAAAAGTACATCATTTTAAATGAAAACCAACTCAAAAATTTTGTTGCCCTAAAATAAAAAAATCATAAGTTTTGGTTTATTAATTTGGGTTTGATATAAGTCTCTGAAAAATTTACTTTTCGGTAAATGCAAACTTTGAATATGATTAGTTATTTAAAATCTTTTTTTTTTTACCTAATATCTTCATTCTATGTTGAAGATATGACTAATTTTGTTATGTAAATGTAATGTTTGAATATGATTAGTTATTTAAAATCTTTTTTTTTTTTGTTTTATCTAAATATCTTCATTCTACATTGAAGATATGACTAATTTTGTTATGTAAATGTAATGTTTGAATATGACTAATTTTGCTTTATTAATTTGGATTTGATATAAGTATGTGAAAAATTTACTTTTCTGTAAATGCAAAGTTTGAATATTATTAGTTATTTAAAATCATTTTTTTTTGTTTTATGTAAATATCTTCATTTCAAATTGAAGATTTTGTTATGTAAATGTAATGTTTGAATATGATTAGTTTATTTACAACCTAATTTTTTATTTAAGTATTTCTATTTCACATTAAAAATATGATTAATTTTATTTAAAATAAAAGTGAAAAAATTTATTCCTTCTAATAAGTATGATTTTAAAATTCGAATATTGTGTATTAATAAAAATGATTAACTCGCTTAACAATGGAACAACAATTAGTCGGTTAAAATCCCAACTTTTTTCATATTTGGCATGCAAAAATTAGTGGTAGGATAGCTATATACCATTACTCCTAACAATTAGCAATGCTATCTTTGCTTGCTTGCTCGTCCTCCATGGCAGATGGGATCTGAATTATTACAGCCTTATTAGTAGAAAAAATATCTCTCACAATGTTATTATTGAACCTCAAAGTCAAACAAATTGTCCTAATATTCTTTTCCTGGTTCTCTCTCACCTCTTTATCTCCTCGACACATAGCACAAGACCTTTGAAAGAATCAAAGCTCTTATCCTGTCTGGGAAGAAGAAGAAGGGAAAAAAAAAAAAAGGTTAGTTTTGAAAAAGAAAACCCATTCTTATCTACTGGTGGTGGGTCTAAACCTGGAATTGCATAATGTGAAGATAAAAATCCAGGTTGGTGTAGTTATATTTATATCATTGAACATGCCCTAGTCTTATCCCGAATCATACTCCATATATTCTTTTCTGGTCCAAAAATAGACCTTTCACCTAAGATAAGCAAACCCATTAGGCCCACAACCATTCCTGTGTTTCTATGCCAATTGTAAGGCATTCAATACAACACATGTCTTTTTGTGTTTTATGGTTATTCTGCCTGAAATATGTTTTCGAACCTCCTGGAATCTTTTTGTTAGAGATATCGTAGAAAGTAGGTTTAATGACAAAAATCGCCTGGTTTTATTACAATATGATAATTTTAGATTTTTGTTATAAATTCACATAATTTGAATTTTAAAATATTAGTTTTTAGATAAATTTTATTCAAATCGTATTTTTTCCGTTATTTATAACGATCAATCTAGTTAATCATCAATTTTTTAAGAAAAAATTAAAAATGTCTTTTTTTTTTCATTTTTCAAGAGATTTTTTTTTCACCTGCTTCCCTATAAATAAAATAAAAAAAGTTTTAAACTTATCACTAAATTTTGTTTTTTATTCTCACTCAAAAAGAGCTTTTACTTTCCGAACCTATTTTTTTTTAAAAAAACTAAAAATAAAATAAATTAAAAAATGGGTTTCTAACTCTAACATATTTAAATGCATATTATATATTTGAATCAATTGTGAGAAAACAAAATCCTATAAAACATATGAAGATAAAAAAATATTAAATAAATACAGCTATATTTAGAATTTAATAATTGACAATCATAAGAATAAATTTATTAGCATGACAAAAAAAAAAAAAAAACATTTCAGTTAAAATTAATCATTTGATAATTTTAATTGATCAAATTCAACCAATAGATATTTGTATTTTATTAATTATAGAAATTAATTGTTTTAATAGATAATGATCCTACATAAAAATTATTTTTTAAAAATTAAAAAATTATATATAAATAATAATTTGATTGACTATGAAAAATCAAAGGAACTAATATGTGAAAATTTTAAATAGAAAGAATCTCTCTTGAAAAATTAGAGTAAAACATTTTTAAAGTTTTTTTAATAAAAAATTAACAACAAAAAAAGAAAAAAGAAAAAAAACGATCAAGCTGGGTTTACCACGATAAATAATGGAAAAAATATAATTTGGATAAGATTTATCCAAAAACTAATATTTTAGGATTCAAATTACGTAAATTGATAATAAATCTATGAAATTGTCAAATTCCAATAAAACCAGATCAATTTTTGTTACAGGAAATCTCTCTCTCTATGTATAGATCATTAAAGCAATGCAATATAAAATTTTCAGATATAAATTTTTCATGATATCACAGACCTAAACTCTTTCACGTGGATCATGCATCTCTTTAAGTTCTAACAAAACCTTTTCTTTTAAGGATTCAGATAAGGTCAATGTTAAGGTGACGTTTGGTAGGAGATTGAAAAAAAGGACGTGAATTGTTATGGAACTAATTATAACAAAAGTAATTTTTAAGGGTGTAAAAGTTGGATTTAATTTAAAAATGTTTGATGTATTTATAAAATGAAGGGTTAAATGCTATCGAAAAAGAGAGAAATTAATTAAACTATTAGTAATAGTTAGCAAAAGACAATTAAAAATTAATTTGATGTGTATTTTAAGATAAAAAATAAAAAGAGAGGCAAAAAGGAAATAATATTTACCCTCCAAAACCATTAATTTGAGGGTACTTAATATCCTCTCTTAATAATAAACCCCCTCAAAAAAAAAAAAAAAAAAAAAACAACCTTAAACTTTGTCCTTGTAAAATTTAATGCCTTTTTAACTCTCTAAAGAAGAGTAACAGTGCCTGTCTGTACAACATTTGTTTTATTAGGTGCATTAATTGTGCTTCAAAGATAATAATTTGTGTGTATTTTAGGTATTTATGTGATGCTAGAGATAAAATTAATTATTTTCGAAACGAAAATGATAATATTTAATTTTTTAAATAAATATAATATTAATATTCGAACCATGCACATTAATCACATTAATAGGGAATTTGCCTTTGTGTTTTTATAACAAGTTTGTCATGTTATTCTTATATATTTATCTTACAGAATTTGTTTATTAAAAAAAATCAACTGTCGAATTAGGTACATCAATTGTTCTTTAAAAATAACAATCGTTTTTATATAATGAATAAGCAATATTATTTTTATATAATTATTTTACAGAATTTACTTATAAAAAAATCAAATATTAGATAAGTATTTCATACATTAAATAAATGATTTTTTTTTTTATTTATTCTATAAGACAGTTATATAAGAATAGATTATTATATAACAATAAATTATTATTATTACTCTTTATAGAAAATAAAAAAAATAACCCTGCTCCTCTTGGACTTATCTTTTGGTTTTTATGATTTAAGGATATTTTTATACAAGTTTCCAGACACTAAAGACCCATCGAATAGAATAGAATAAAATAATAAAATCAACTTTCGGCTATGGAAACTGATTTTTATATTTATTTATTATTATTATTATTATTATTATTATCAAAGAGAAGCCATTCACTTAAATGACACTTTTGAGGTTATCAAGAAACATAATAAAGATTTTAACCTATGACTTACGTTTGCCGACACATCTCATCTACTTCAGCAAAGCCTCCTTACTTTGAGCCATGTTATGTCCAAGAAATCACCAAAGCACAGGACAATTTTTCTTGCAAGTTGTCATTACTCCAATGCCTAATTTCAAAGAACTCTTGTAAATTAGAAGAGGTTATTACATTGGAATTAAAGGGATTCTCAAAAAATTGCTATTTCTCTTTTATGGCTAATGAGATAATACATTCTCTTAATCATTCGACCAATATGAAAATTTTGAGTTCAGTTGATATATATATATATATATATATATATATATATATAATTCCACATAATAGATTAGATAAGAACATCATGTTTGTGTGTGTTTTTGGACAAATTTGTGTTGTTTTTGGTCCACTTTGTTATATTCACAAAAGTTTCTTTTACGTTCAGACTCCTAAAACACAAATGCAATTGGTAAAGAGAATTCCATTGGCATTTCGTCTCATAAGAAGGGAAGTGCTAAATGAATCAAACAAGAAAAAGAACAACTTTTCCCTTCCATTTTATCAACATTGTGATTTCCGTTCTGCATTTTCTGTTTCAATTTTCTGTCACCCTTCATTGGAAGCTATTCCAAGAAAGAGAGGTAAGTTAATCAGGATTCTGCTTCTAGTACTTATTTATGAATACTATGAATTCTTATTTCCATGTGTTAGTTATCATCTAGCATGGATTTGGGCAAGCTACAAAGAAATTCTTATTTCCATGTCTAAAAGTTCAGAGTTAGCTTTCAATGATGATGAACTCTTTTTTGAAAATTTGTCCTCATGATCATTGCCTTCTAATGTTCTGAAAAACCTGTGCTGTTTGTTGGTGCATCATGATAGTCATTATTTGGATGCGTAAGCAAATTATACATAAAAGAACGGGAGGAAAAAGTTGGGCCTGTAGTTTGTGCCTTTTGTTCCATCCCACAAAAAGAATTAACCCTTTGCTAAACAATTTAATTTCTCATGAATGTCATTGTTAAGTGCTCGATTCTAATGCTCTTTCATGCTGCAGTTTCCTTAATCAATGCCAGGCAAAAATGGACTGAGTTTGTGTGTATGGTTATACTTAGTTAGCCTATATCGGGTGATGAAAAATTGTGAGAATTCTAGGTTGAGCTAATCGGGTGATGATTTTTTGGCTATTTAATTCACTGCAAGAAATTGAAAAATCTTAAAGATCAGTTTAAATACTAGAGGAAGTGAGAAAAGATGGGCAGGAATTCATTGATGCAGCAAAAATGGAAGGTGAGGATCAGAAATGAGGTTCAAAACTGGATGTCGAGAGTTGATGGGGTAATGTTGGAGGCTAGGAAATTTTTGGAAGATGATGTTATTGCAAACAACAGATGTTTTAATGGATGATGTCCTGATTTGGCCTCACGTTTTTGGCGTAGCCAATAATCAGAGAAGGTAACGTACCACAGCAATTGCAAAGGTAAAAGAAGATGACAAGTTTAATAATGTTTCCAAGCCCACACCTTCTCCAGGAATAGAGCCTCGTCTCAGGATTTTGTACTTTCTGACAGTACAAAAGTGGCTATGACAGCACTTCGTAGAAGCGTTGAAGGACAATACGATCAATTTTATTGGGAAATATGGAATGGACTAATATGAGGTTGTAGGATTTGGAAGGTGCTGAAATCGCAGAAGAAATATCCAGAGGGAGTGGCAAAAGATTAATCGTTTCCATGTTACTGCTGAATGCCATATCCAGGTTCTCACAATTGGAAGAGTTATACTTGAGCAATATCTTCAAATGGTCTATAGAGAACATAGCTGAGTTGAAATCTCTGTACTGCCTAACTGCTTTAAGCATGGATATAAGCAATTTAGAATGCATAACTGAAGTCTTCATCTTTCCTGATTTGGAAGTTTTCAAAATATCTGCAGGGTTCTTTTGTTTTGAAGAACCAAATATCGGCGGCTTCGTGGCTGACAAGAACGAATGATCTATCTTTAGTATCATTCAAGGGGTTAAGGAACGTTCTTCTGTACTTATTGTTAGATAGAGGTAGTTTAGCTCTCACGAGGAGTCTGAAAATTAGTCATTATGATGAAGATCGAATATTTGATCTATACTGAAGAATGGCAGATTCCACCAGCAGCAGAGCAGCATCGGCAAAGTTGCTTGTTGCACCCGTGAAAACTAGAACTTCAGAGTTTAGAAACCTTCAAGGGCTTATGCCATGGTTCACTGCCTCTTGAAATGTCGTTGCCTTTACGGAAGCTCAAGTATTTGACAATTTATGTGTGTCTGAAACTGTCAAATGTTTTTGATTCCTTCCACATGATGCAAAGGTTTGAGGAACTTGAAGAAAGAACACTGATGTAAAATCATGTGAAGCACTAGAGTGTGTATGCAACCTCAGAACCGAAAAGCATTCTGTTCAGGAGAATGAGATGCTTCTCTGTTTAACAAAAGTTGTTTCACGTCCGAAATTTGCCAGAGCTGCACATAGTGAAAAGTTCTACAACTGTTACTTCAGATGGAATCCAGAGAACCCCAAAGTTGTAGCAGATCTGACTGGTTGGTGTTGACGAAATGCTTAATGGAAGGGACTTAAATGCAGTCATAGAAGGCCACTCAAGGTTTCTGTCTCCTTTCTGTTTCTTAATCATGGCAATTACCAATATCATGCTAGTTTTCTTAGTTGGCTTGTGCAATTTATAGGATCCACGATTCAACATGGCTTTATACACTGTGTAAGAGGTTTTCGTTTTTTAGACTGCTTCATTTCATACTAGTCTGACATGATATTTTGAATCTTGGCCCGGGAAGTGATGCTAATATTCGGTTATCGAAACTTCGTGCAACAATAGTAGAATGTCGCGAAAATCTTTAGCAACTGGAAATAATAATTTCTTCTATTATTTTCATTGGATTTAACCTTTGTAAGTGTTCTTTCAATTTTAAAAGCCAAGCTTCTTCCTCATGACACCATTATTATGTTCCTCTACTTCTTTACTACAAGGAGGCCATGATGCACCGAGTTGCAAATTTTAAGGTGTTTATAGCATCTGGCATTACTTTTGGTACTTTGAATACTTCAAATAATTAAGGTTATGTTTTGCCTGTTTGTGCTATATCATGAGCAGCGAGGACATTGCTGCTTAAAATATATGGTTGTGTATTCTTTTTAACCGGTTGCTTCTGGTAATGTCATGTAAATTTTGTATCTAAGCCAGACATTTTGTCTCTGTTTTCCTTATCATCTTCTTGTAATATGTTATTCTGCTTACATTGTTAGTTCTATTCGGCAATCTTTCTTTTGTGTTTAACTCTTACAGTTTAGCTCTTAGCTCACAAAAAGCAGAATAAAGTTGCAGTTGGCATGTGCTTTACCTTCAAACCCATTTGTGAATACCATGCTAATAACCATTTCTGAGAAGGATGAGTTTGAAGGACCCGCTAGCCTAAACGTTAAGCAATCCTGTTACTTTTTATACAATGCTAGCTATAAAGAAATGAAAAGAATTGGGAGCTAAAGGAAAAAGGAAATCTTTTGCCACATTCCTCGACAAGAAAAATATTAAAGATTGTGCAAGGCAAATCAAGCAAGAAAAGGATAACTTTACCCTACCATCTGATCAATATGGTGATTTGAATACCATCTTCTTTTCTGCTTTTTCTGTTTCATTTACCTTTCAGCTTTCGTTGCAAGCTATTCGAAGAAAAAAGAGGTACGTTCTTGATTCCATAACATCTAGTAGTTATTTTCATAATTTGCATGATTTTGTTCAGGATGAGTAGTATGAAGTCCTATTTCCATGTCTAAAATTCGTTGTATCTGACATGCATTTTTGCTACTAGGAAATTCTATCTAAATATATTGGAGGTTGATATGATGTTAGATTTGAAAGATAATGGACTCTTTTTGCAATTTTTCCATATGATCTTCCTCTTATTCTGTTCTGAAAACTTTGTACTTGTACTTGTACTTGTGTCATGACTATCATATTTTGGATGCATAAGAAATTGTGCCTAGGAAGTTTTTATAACTTGATATGCATAGACATGCTCATTGGTTTGCATTTTGCAGACATTAACTATACTTTTCTTCATTCATCTTTCTCCAGACCCTATACGTATATTGAGATGGCCGTTGATATTGTGATTTCCTTGATTGGAAAAATTGGAGAGTTCCTGGTTGAGCCAATCGGACGAAGATTTGGCTATTTAATTCACTACAACAGCAGCGTCGAGACTCTTAAAGACCAAGTTCAAATACTAGAGGAAGTGAGGAAAGATGTCCAGGGATCCATTGATGCAGCGAAAGGAAAGGGTGAAATAATAAAAAATGAGGTTCAAAACTGGATATCGAGAGTTGATGGGGTCATATTGGAGGCTAAGATAATTTTGGAAGATGATGCCGTTCCAAACAAGAGGTGGTTTAACAAGTGGTATCCTGATTTGGCTTCACGCTATCGGCTAACCAGAGAATCGGACAAGAAAACGGCAGAAATTGAAAAGCTAAAAGGAGATGGCAAGTTCAGTAATGTTTCCAAGCCTGCAGCTTCCCCAGAGTTAGTGTCAAAGTCTCGAGATTTTGTTCTTTTTGAAAGCACTAGAGTGGCTATAATGGCCCTCATGGAGGCATTGGTGAGCGATGAAATCAATTTCATTGGGATACATGGAATGGGCGGTGTCGGTAAAACAACGTTAGTGAAAGAAATTGCAAGAAGGGCTAAAGAAGACAATCTCTTTGATGTTGTTGTGATGGCTGTAGTGTCACAGACCGTTGAAGTGAAAAACATTCAGCAGCAGATAGCAGACATGTTGGGTTTGAAACTTGAAGAGAAAAGTGAACAAGGAAGAGCAGGTCGGTTGCATGGTATACTGAAGAATGTTAATAAGATCCTTGTTATCTTGGATGATATTTGGGATACCCTTGATCTTGCTGCCATAGGTATTCCATTTGGCGATGATGATGATCATATCGATCCTAAAAAAAATGTGAATCGTAAAGTTCGTAAAATTGTTGTCACAACACGACGCAGACAAGTATGCAATTCTATGGCAACTAGAATTGAGACTTCGAAGATCATCCATCTCAATGCTTTATCTGAAAATGAATCATGGGGATTGCTTAAGATGAATGCTGGTGAGCTTATCGACTCTCCTGAATTGAATTCTGTAGCGAAGGAGGTCTGCAGAGAATGCGGAGGTTTGCCAATAGCCCTTGTTACTGTGGGAAGGGCAATGAGAGGTCAAGACCTGGAAGAATGGAAAGAAGCTGCTCTAGAACTTCAAAAATCTATGCCCTTCAACATTGAGGGCATGGATGAAGTCGTGTATAAGTGCCTTAAGCTAAGCTATGATCACCTGAAAAATAAGGAAGCTAAGTCAATGTTCTTGCTGTGCTGTTTATTTCCCGAGGATTACAACATCTGTATAGAGGTTCTAGTGAGATACGGGATCGGACTGGAAATGTTTAAAGATGTTCTGACGATACAGGAGGCAAGGAGACGAGCACATTCTATCACAAAAAATCTCATAGATTCATGTCTATTGCTAGCAGGCAGTGAAACAGGCTGCATCAAAATGCATGATGTTGTACGTGATGTAGCAAAAACAATTGCATCTGATATTTATTTTGTGAAAGCTGGGGTAAAGTTGTTGGAGTGGCCAAATGTGGACACTTTGAAGCATTATACTGGGATATCAGTAATGCACAACCAGATAACTGGATGTCCTGCCGCCTGGGACTGCCCAAACCTCCATGTATTGTTGATGCAAGGCAACTGTATTGAACAGCCTGTGCCAGAAGGAGTCTTTAAAGGGATGACAGCCCTTAAAGTTTTCGATCAGAGTGATATTTTCTCGAAAGGCGATCCTTACCTTTCGAGGAAACTGGACCCAGAATTTTCTTATCTAACAAATCTTCGGACATTAATCATTAAAAATTGCAGGCTTGCTGCCCCAGCTGCAATTGGGAAGCTGAAAATGCTTGAAGTTCTTAGCTTGGCACATTGCAAGCTCCTAGACGACCTACCACAGGAAATAGGGGAATTGACAAATATAAGGTTGGTTGATTTGGAAGACTGTCAGCATAGCAGAAAAAAATTCGATGCCACATTCCCTCCAAATGTAATCTCAAGGTGGTTCCGATTAGAAGAGCTGTACTCAAGTTCTTACTTGAGATACACCAGAGAGCACGTAGCTGAGCTGAAATCACTGTCCCACTTAACCACCTTAGTAATGGAGATCCCTAATTTCGGATGTATACCTGAAGGTTTCAGTTTTCCTGAACTGGAGGTTTTCAAAATAGCTATACGCGGCTCTATCCATCACAAACAACCAAATTATCTTGAGGTTTGCGGTTTGGTCAATGTCAGGAAACTTCTCGCTATTCCTTCACTAGGTTGTGTCCAACCATTACTGAAGAGGACACAGTATCTAAAATTGTCTTCCTTTAAGGGGCTAAGGAATCTTTTTCCTTACCTATTGTCAGATAGAGATGGCTTGTCTGCCTTGAAAACTCTGGAAATTTCTGATTCTGAGGAGATTGAATATTTGATTCATAGTGAAGAATGGAAGATGCCACTCCTTATAGAGCAGCATCAAGACACTTGTTTGATGCACCTGGAAAAGCTAGACCTTCAGCGTTTGGGAACCTTTAAAGGGTTATGCCATGGTGCACTACCAGCAGAAATGTCCTTGTCTTTGCAGAAACTCAAGAGTTGTAAGTTTTACAAGTGCCCGAAACTGTCTAATGTCTTTGCTTCATTTGAAATGCTGCAACGGTTCGATGAACTTGAAGAGCTTTCAGTAGATTCATGTGAAGCACTAGAGTATGTATTCAACCTCAAAATTGAAAAGCCTGTATTTGAGGAGAAAAAGCTACTGTCCCATTTAAGAGAACTTGTACTATGTGATTTGCCAGCAATGAAGCGCATATGGGACGGCCCTACTGGACTCCTGCACCTGCATAATCTACAAATTGCAGACATTCAAAACTGCAAGAAACTGAAAGTTCTCTTTGATGCTTCTGTTGCTCAAAGTCTTCAACAATTGAAACACCTGCTGCTAAAAGGTTGTGATGAACTGGAAACAGTTGTTGCAAAGGAATCTCAACGACAAGATGGAGGCGTGACAGCTGACATTGTCGTGTTCCCTCAATTAGTAGAGCTTTCACTACTCTACCTTCCTAACCTTGCTGGTTTTTGCTTGGATAGCTTGCCTTTCAAATGGCCATCCTTCAAAAAACTAGAGGTTCGTTGGTGTCCTAAGATGAAAACCTTTGCTGCCACCTTGGATTCAGATGGAAACCAAAGCACACCAAAGTTGAACCAGATCAAATTGGATGATGTTGACATGATACTTAATGGAAGGAGCTTGAACATGCTCATCCAAAAGTACTCCGAGGCAAGGTATTTATCATTCGATTTTCCTAAACTAGAATTTCTGATGAATAAATCAACTGATTGGATGCACTTATTGCTCAAAGAATATTTTAAGAGGTTTTAAGTATTTAAACTGCAAAATTTCATACTAATCGCGAGCATTTCGATGCAGGGAGTTGCAGGACCTGATAAATGACCATCAGACTCGTATGGAAGGATTGACAGAAAGTTAGAAATAATATCGACAGGTTTCCGGGACTTGTTGTCATTGTTTTTTCTGTCTTCATATCATATCCATCACTTCGTATCTTCTAATTCTTAGTTTCACCGAAATGATCAGAATTGTTAGCAGTAGGCAACAGAGGCTTGTGATCAAACATTGAAGCTTTTGGCAGACAGAAATCTTAACTGGGGCAGATGTTTGTTGTGCTTCTTTACTGTAATATAGGAACTGCTTCTGTTACAAAATTACTTATTTATGTAGTTTTGCTTCTACCTTTCATGAAATAACCTCATTTTGCAAGTAATTGTGACGATGAGTCGATGAGTAGAGAGGAGAGGACTACAAGATTACTGTTGAGGAAGGAAGAGTCAATTTGGAAATAAAGCCGATATTAGAAACATTACTAAAGCTTAATCATTCAGTTCTACTATATGATGATTTTTTTCCCCAAACATATTACATTTCAGAATTCAGACCATTTAGAAGAGTCTAAAATCGTTTATAATTAGTGTTTGGTTCCTATCTCAGAACTGAAAAAACGAGACAGATTGACAGATTGACAATGAAGATAGAGACAAAAACTCATTTTCGTCTGTGTCTGATATAAATGGAGCCAATTTGTGTACTTGAAAAAGGAGGGACAGAAGAGACATGTCCCAGGGACATAAATAAACTCATTTTTAACCTCAAAACGCATGCTTGATATTAATTCCTAAATTCCTAAAAAATCAAATAAGATCCAAAAACACAATCATATTTTTTGAATTCTGATCTGCTATTTTTCTGGCCATATTGGACCTTATCAGGACCATCAAATAAATCAAACAAATAGAACACATGGAAGTCAAGATTAGTGATTTTTTGCAGTCGAAAAAGGCCCTAACTAAAGTTTTTTCTCTTCTAAATTCTCTCCTCTCTAACCTATTAGGGACCAAAATGCAAACTAAATCATGCGAAGCACTAGAGTATGTATTTGAATTTGACGTCCAACCTGGAACGTCTGTTACCAAGGAGAACGAGATGCTGCTTCCTCAGTTGAGAAAACTTGTGCTAATGTTTTTGACGGAACTGAAGCATGTACAGAGTGGCCTTCATGGATCCTTGCGCCTGCAGAACCTACAAACTGTAGATATTTATGAATGCAAGAAGCTGAAAGTGATCTTTCATTTGTCTGTTGCTTGGAGTGTTACACAATTGAAAGAACTGTTTGTAAATAACTGTGATGAATTGGAAACAGTTTTTGCAAACGAATTTCAAGGACGAAGAAGAAGAGATTGCTGCCAAGGTGCCATTCCCTCAGTTGCCAACCCTTCAGCTACTCTATCTTCCCAACCTTGCTGGTTTCTCCAAGCATAACCTGCTTCTCAGATGGCCTCCCTGGAAACTGTAGAGATGCGTCATTGTCCCGAAATGAAGGCCTTTGCTACTTCTGTGGCTCTCCATGGAAACCACAGAACGCCAAACTTGAAGGAGATCAAATTTCTTCTTCCTCATAGCAACATTGCTATGTTTCAGTACTTCTTCACTGCAAGGGGCTGCGCCACGAAGCAGTAAGTTTCCAATTTAAGCTGTTCATAATATCTGGCATTGCTCCTGATTATACCTTGAATATTTCAAATAAGGCTCATGTAAATTAGCCTCTGTGTGATATGTTTTATTGGCAGCCAAGGCCATTGCTGCATGGATATATGTGTTGTAAAATATTATTCTACAATGCAGACTTCTTTTTGTTGTTTTCCTGGTTTTTATTGTCGAACCAATTTACATATCAACCAAAACTTTTAATTTTTATGAAATGATATTATGAGATTTGTTAGTGATGCAGGCAGTAGTTTTCAGGTTACGAAAGTCCTGAGACCTTTAAGTAACCATCCTAATATTGTTAAGCAGCAAAATTTCAGCTTCTAAGTAACAATTACTACATAATTTGCTGTCTAAGTAACAATCCTTCATCAATTATTACTATTAGGCCTGCAAAGTTGAAAATCATCCAGCCAGCCACCAAACATATATGTATTGTTTAGAAGTAATTAAAAAATTCAATGAACATCAATTAATCCATGTTATTCAATTTTGAGTTAATGGTTCAATTAATTCTTATATAATAGGATAGTTTTCTAATCTGTTTTATATTTCTAATTGAATTATTATTAAAGTTTTTAATATGTCATTTTGATAAATTTTTAAACCAAATCATGTGATTTATAAATAAAAACCTTCAATTTATCTGGCTTACAAAAGCATTTTGCAAAATAAAGATAATCACATGCAAATTACATGATTAATTTTGATAGTTTGCTTTCAAAATCCTTTTAAAACGATATATTAAAAAACTTAACATATATTCAAAGGTAAAATTAGCTCAATTAAATATATAAAAATATATTAAAAAATTACTTTATTATATAAAAACATTTTAAACTATTAAATCCTTTAATTTTCTGAACATATTAGCTATTTTTTTTTGAATTATTTTACTATTTATTTCAAACGTTTAATTTAAATGGTAAATGAAATTTGCTTTCCATATTATTGTGTTAAATTCCAGTATAAGAGGATCTATAGCCTATATAAATCTAAGATCCCATTAGAAAAAAAACTTAATTTTGCTCCGTGAACTCCAATGTTAGATAAGTTTGTCAAAAAAAAAAAAAAAAAAAGAAAAGAAAAGAAAAGAAAAAGAAAAAAGAAAAAAAGAAGAAATTGAATAAAAGGAAAATCCAAATTTTTTGGTCCTAGTGGGTTTCAATCATAAAATGAGCCCATAAACGTCTAGTGCACCCCTAGCCAGATGTAATATCACCGACAGAGCAGCACGGCAATTTTGTACTATCTTCTGTCACAATATCACCCAATGCTCACTCTACTTTCACGATGTCGATTCGCTCCCTCCCTTCCTCACTTCACACCTTCAAGAACCAAAATTAGGGTTAGCGAACTCTCTTTCCCCTCCCATATCGCAACTCGATCACTAACTCAACGGGGGTCCAGCTCAATGAGTCAACCCACCGCCGAGTCAGAACCCAATTCACAAAACGAAGAGAAGAAAGCAGGGAATTTAGATGACGTGCTGGTGCAGTATGTGGTGTTGAGGAGAGACTTAATAGACACGTGGCCGATGGGGAGTGTAGTGACACAGGGATGCCATGCCTCTGTTTCTGCTATTTGGTCACATAAGGAGGATCCACATACTCTTCAGTATTGTAGCCCTGAAAATATTGATTCTATGCATAAGGTAATTTCTTTTGATTTTTCATAATTTTTTTTCCCATTTGGAAATGGCAGAAAAAGATGGATTCCATGATGGGTTGTTTGTTAGATTGACGAGTATTATTTAATCTTGGGCGAAGAAATTGGATTTTTTTATTTTTTTTGGTGACTACATTGAAAGGGTGTTTGATAATGTATTGTTTGATCTTAGGAATAAATTTTGAGATTTTATTTTGATGATATGAACAAGTTAGAGGAGTTTTATGGCTTGAGCTAGTGAAATATACAGCAGCAAGGGTGAAATGTTTTTGTTCATTCTTGCATTAAGAATTTGATGTTATTGTCACATGTCCTGGTTTCATCGACAAGGCTTATGTCTCAGTTCAGTTGCGCCGGCTGATAACTTCCATTGCATTGGGATTTAGTACCTGAATATGTCTATTAGCTGGATATGTATGCCTTGATTTGTTTTGCCCCGCTGCTGGATTCACCTGCATAAAAGTAAGGAGGGCAAATTAACATTATGTTTAAAGGGCATCAATGAGAAATGGATACATCAATGATGAGCGTTTTCTTTTGTTTCTTTCAATTTGACTCATGCATTTCTGAACTCTGAAGTTTACGAGCATTATCAATAATGGACTTAGGTTTGTCTCTTTTTCGATGTCAGGTTACTCTGGAGGTGAAACAAGAACATCAAATCTTGAACTTGTCTGAGAAGCTCAAAGCTGGAGGTATTGCTCATAAACTCTGGGTTGAACAACCTGAAAATATTCCTACTTGTCTTGCCACGAAGCCCTATCCTAAATCTGTTGTAGCACTGTTCTTTAAAAAGTTGAAACTTTGCAAGTGATGTATTTTCAGTTTTGAATATTACTGATCCATGAGCAATTTAATATATTATTTTGCCTTCTGACTCGTTAACAATTATGGTTCTGTTCTTGTTATTTAAGTTTGGATCCCACATGAAGTAGTATTACTCTTGCCAGCAAAAATTAGCTGCAAAGGTGTGAAGGATCTGTGATATATTAAGTTTTTGGGGATTAGGATGGTGCATTTATCGGGATTGGCTTGGATGAGTGATGGTTGGACTTGACTCTCTGCCGATGGTATGGGTCTCCTGTTCGACCTTGTGTGCACAGGTGTTTTTGGGAGATCCACAGCATCGGCCACCAAGCCAAGTCCAACCATTGCTTGTCTGAGCCAGTCCGGGAACAATGCATAAAATACTATTTTGCAAGGGGGTGGCTGGTTACAGAAGTCCCTACAATATGTGTAGTTCAGGTTCAGGAGCTTTAAAAAATTCATGAAAGAAAATTTCAATGACAGTAATTAGATTTCTCTCATGTCTCCAAGGAGAGGAGATTAACTTGAGCATCGATCCTCTTCCCAGAACTGGTACTATTTTTGCTTGAGGAATTTGGAATGATAAAGAAATGATCATATGCGAACAATTCAGGGATTCTAAATATAGACAGTTGCATTTTTATGATCCCTAGACCCAAATATTGAATATGCTTTGGACAAAAGAAAAACTCTTTTATACTTTGACTCTTCTAATTATGTGGAGAGCCTAGTTTCGGTGTATGGTAGTCCTGGACATCCAATTGCATGCAGGTGATGATGAGAGCTGGACGGGACTTCTATCCGATGGGAACAAGAAGCGAGGAAGAACACAAGTTGGGGTGGAGGAGTAGAGTTTGGTGTTGCAATTGCATCTTTGTAGTTATTGTTGAGATCATGAATGTGGTCAAATAGGTTATAAGAGGTTTATGGTTTTTGATTTTTTTTTTTTATTAATGCTGGAAATTTCCTTTACTCTTTTACCTGATTAGTGTCTGTTTTTTTTTTTTTTTTTTTTTGGGTAGATCTTAATTATGTGTTCCTAAAGGCTAACCTCGTTTTTTGTGGTGCTGCATAACAACATTGATTTGCCATGCATGTGCATTAGCTTGTTTTAATCAAGAGATGTTGAAATTATTCTACTCTGATGAGTGTAAGACTAGAAGTTTAAACTGATCCAATATTTATGGTGAATTGGTTGCCACTTGTGCAGGGGCTTAATCATATATGTAGTTCCCCTGTGCACTGTAAAATGCTATTTTTCCCTGATAATGTTTCTACAATGTATTTTCTAAACAAAATGTCAATGAAAAAGAAGCTTGATTCTTCACAAATTTGATGAGAACTGCAAAAATTAGCTGCTGAGCTGTGAAGGGTATGTGATATATTATGTTTTGGAGATTTGGGATGATTGCGTGTTTCCAAACTGACTCATTGGACTTGACTCATCGGTTGGTGGTTTGGATCTCCAATTGATGCAGGTGTCTTTGGGAGATCTAAACCGTCGGCCGATGAGTCAAGTACAACCATTGCTTGTGGGAGCTAGACCGGAACAGTTCGTATTACTTTGCAAGGGAATGGGTTGGTTGCAGAAGTCCTTACAATATGTTTAATGCAGGTTCGGGAGCTTTTGAAAAGTTCGGACAGCAAAATATTGTTATGGAAAGAAAATTTCAATGACCCTCCTTGACACTGGATGGATACATTGAAAAATTCAATTACCCTCGTTGACACTGGATGGAAACAATATGGTTTGCCTATAAATTAGGGTTAGTCTGGACCTATAAGTCAAATTCAATTGCAACTTTCGGCTTTGCTTTCTAACACTTAAAAACCTATCATCCACTCTACTTGGTCATCTATTTAATTTGCTTTCTCAAAATTAGCAACCATACTTGAAAGAAAATGAATGTGCTGCGCGAAGTTACTTTCATAGATTTTCCAAATACTCCCACAACTATATTTGTACTTACAATTAGGTCCTTTAAGGTTAGTGTTGACATGACATATTCAAAGGTTTGGCACAAGATATCAATTAGTCACTGGACTAGTCACAATTATACGGTAGATAAGAAAGCAATTAGCTCCTTTAAGGTTGGGCCTAAAAGTTTCTTTCTGATTTTTAAATAACTCATTTTGTTTCATTAGAAGTTTAGAAATCGTCATAAAATGTTAAAACTCAAGAAATGGCATCTTTTGGTTGATTAAAAAAAATGTGGATTACTTATTTATGATTTTCGAGTATTTTGAATTTTTGATCAATAAGAACAATTCTCTAATTTTTTTCTTTTTGATTTTTTACTCTGAATTCCATATCTATGATTTTCGAAACATTTTACAAATTATTTCACACCTAATTTGGCCCCTATATGGGCTTGTTAAAGAAATATCCAACGAGCCTATTAACTAAGGTGACATGTGATTTGACAAATTAAACCCTACATTGCCAAAAGTCAACAACAGCCTCCCGCAAAATCAAATTCTTCATAATTCCTCTCTTTCTTGGATGCGCCCAATTCACAGAGAAAAACCAAGAAGAGTAGATCAGCAAGCATGGCGATCGGCTCCTGTCTACCTGAAGAGATGGTTAGAGAAATTCTATTAAGATTACCAGTTTAATCTTTGCTTCGATTCCTGACTGTCTGTAAGCAATGGCTGGCTCTGATTACAAGCTCCAACTTCGTTGTCATCTTAAGTCTGTGCGAGATGTATCCTGATTTCATCAACTTCTCACCTGTAGGGGCCCAGGATATGTGATAGAACTTCTCTCTGTGGTTTAGTAAAATTTGGTTCTGATATTTTCACTCCTGATTCTTCAACCCATGTTTTATATTTGTTTTATAGCTGTCTACTTTTACTTTTCTCAGTTTTACTGTGGCAGACTTATAGCTGAAGTTCTCGACAGGACTCTGAAACTATTTAAGGATCTCTATATGTTTGCGGGTTTATGAAATTCAGAAATGAACATGTCTGTTTGACTAGTGGCTGGTTGTTCGGATTCATAGAATTACGAAAACCGTCCAGGTCAAATAACATGGAGAAGATGTTTTAGAAAAAGTTTACATCTTATTGTATTGCTCGAACTTGGTTGTTGTGGAAGGTAAAAGACCGGAAAAGATAAAGTTGTCACAATAAAGAAATCTCGAAAGGTACCATCTATACTCACATTTGATTTGTGCAACGATGTCTTCTCGAAGATGGAAAATGGTCTACCTTATGATGGTATTTGTGACAAAAGTATATATCTTATAGAGTACAAAGAATTACTTGCTATGGGTGTATGTAGGAATGGAGAATCAACATTCGAGTTTGAGATATGGACATTAACGAAGAATCAGTACTGTTGGACAAAACTATTCATATGTAGACCTGTTCCGAAAACTAGGAATATATTACCTTTGGGATTTCGGAATGATAAAGAAATCATAATAAGTGATTATTTTTCGGAGTCATGTCATGACCGGTTGCAATTGTATGATCCCTTGACCCAACAATCAAATATGCTTTCGACAAGTAAAGATGCTGTATACTTTGAAGCTCATAATTATGCGGAAAGCCTAGTTTCAGTCTATGGTGTTGGACAATGATCAAATTGTACCTGAGCAAGAACGAGTTTCCTGGGAACAAGAGAGACTTGGGAATGGCTTCGTATAGATTATAACTTGTGTAAGGTTTCCTTTTGATTTATTTCTATCCACTTACAACTTCACAAGATTTAATTTTTATGTCCTTTATTTCTCTTTCTCTGTTTTTTTTTTTTTTTAATATCTGTCCAGCAAATCTTATTTAAGCTTTCTATTGTTCGTTTCAAATTTGTGAATTAGATTTTCCTTTACAGTAGTTTGAATGATTTTCCATTTTTTGAAAGCCATATATACACACAGGTGAGTGCTTTTCTAATCTCAGTTGTCATGTAAATTGGTATGATGATACTCTTTACAATCGAAAAAATGATAGAAAAGAATCAAAGATTGCTATTTAAGTAACAATCTTTTAGTAATTAGTACTAGAAGCTTCAGACAATTTTATCCCAAAGCTTTGAGTAATTCCACATCAAGTGGAAATACTTTTTCCTGCAAGCTCTAAACTGTAAATTAATGTCTGATCAGCTTTAATAATATTTTGTTCTGGGATGTTGGACATAGCTGTTAATTTCGTGACTTCTTTCACATCAATTAGCTTGATTGTCTCTTCATACGATGTTTCTTGTTTCTTATTGAAAACTTTAAACTTAAGATTCACATAATCCTTCAGATAGGACCTTGTGGCGATATGGATCAGATATGAAAGTTTGTAGTCAAACTCAGAAGTAAATTTTGTCAATTTTTTGTTCGAAGAACTATTCAAAATTTGCTAATTTATCTCAATTTTCTTGTTTAATGTAGGATAGGTTTTCTAACAATTCTAAAGGCTCACCTAACAGACTTAAAACTTTGAGTTGAAATGATTCTTTCACAATAAGAAACTATGGACTTGAATGCTGCTAATTTTAATATACGTTATGGCCTTGCAAACTTTTTATACAATACATTAAATGCAAATATAAGATTAATTTTCTAATCAATGACTTCACATACAATTTTAACTATAGTTGCTTGAGGTTAATCATATTGAGCAGCAGCCCCAAAGATGTTAGCTAATAAACAATAATTCAAAGCATTATAATAGACTCTTTTGACTGATCTCATGTCCTTCTGTTGGTATTTGAGATGGAGGCACTTCCTAATTCTATCACCAATCTAATAAATTTGCAAGTGTTCAAGCTTAATGGGTGTTACAACCTTGAAGAACTGCCAAGAGATATTAATAAGCTGATTAATCTTAGGCATCTTGATGTGGGTTGCTCTCTTGATAGAGGTTTATGTGAAAGTTTGGAGTATATCCCTAGTGGGATTGGGAAATTAACTTCTCTTCAGACATTGTCATGTTTTGTGGTTGCAAAAAAAGGTCCTGAATCAAAGATGGTTGGTGGATTGGATGAGTTGGGTAGATTAAATGAATTGAGAGGAAGCCTAGAAATAAGAGTTAGGGGATATGCGAGGAGTTCTTGTATATTAGAATTTGAGGGAGCTAAATTGATAGAGAAACAATATCTTCAGTCGTTGACCATAGTGTGGAATAGTGATTTAGACATTGATATTGATTTGTGTGATAAAATGTTGGAAAGCCTTCAGCCACACTCGAATCTACAACATTTGATGGTTAGAAATTATGGAGGTATGAGGTTGTCAAGTTGGCTTTCATATCACACAAATCTTGTTAAGATTCATCTAAAAGGCTCTGGAAGACTTAAGCATATCCCTCCCTTAGATGGAGTTCCTTCTCTTGAAGAATTGCATATTGAAGCTTTATCTAATCTGGAGTACATAGATAGTGAGGGGGTTGGAGGAAGAGTAGTGTCGGTGTTTTTCCCATCCTTAAAGAAACTCACGATTGAGTCAGGTGAAAGGCTGAAGGGATGGTGGAAGAAGAGTGATAGAGATGAGTCAACAACCACAGCAGAAGAAGAGTTGATGATGCTCTCTTTTCCACGTCTTTCTTCCTTGAGAATAGACAATTGTCCTAAACTGTCTTCAATGCCATTGTTTCCAACTCTAGATGATGAGCTATATTTGTGGTCGACCAGCTCAGTGCCATTACAGCAGACAACGAAGATGAGAGGTTGGAAATCAACATCATCAGTCTCTTCTTCTTCATTTACCCATCCTCTCTCCAAATTGAAGGAACTCAGAATTGGTGATATTGAGGATATGGATTATCTTTCCAGAAAATGTGCTGCAAAATCACTCTTCTCTTCAACAGTTACATATGGGGCATTGCCGAAGATTGAAGGCTCTGCATCTACCTGATCAGG